GTATGGAAGCAGAGCTATTATTAGACCGCGATGTTTGCCAGAGAGAAACGCCAAAGTCGACGGTAAAGACAGCAGCAGCTGAACGGTCGAGGTGAACGATGTCCCTGGTGGTTTCAATCTGTCTGTCATCGTTGGTACACATCAAAAAATGTGTAAACAGAGCTAAACAGTGACAAAGGACATAAAATAAGGATCTACAGCAGATGAAGAAATAGTAAAATAGCTTTTTAGTAAATAAACAACTTCCAATTAATCTGGATTAAGATGAGATCATAAAAATTAAAAGCCACAATAAATATAGTGAGGAAAGAAAAAAAGTTCTGGAAAAGTCAAGAATCATAAATATAAAATAGAAATTTGCACTAAAAACTATGCAAATTATATCTGATATATAAAATTCTTGACTCTTGACTTTAGTTTCATCTCCCCTCCGTTTTCTTTCTTCGCAGACGTGCTGAATGACGCCATCTTTGACGAAGACCACGACGAGATGGTGATCGTAAAAGACATCGACATGTTCTCCATGTGTGAACATCACCTGGTGCCCATCTTCGGCAGGGTGAGCGAAGCGCACACATACCAGGGTTCGACGGGATTTTTGAGAGAAATTCAAGCACTGAGAAACATTCATTCCTTCATAAATGAGATGAGTTCACTTTGCTGGAACATGATGACAGGATGATGACATGTGTAGCGTGGTGCCCGTCAAAGGCCAACAAGACGAGGTCGTTGTTAAAGAAGTAAGTCTGCGAATCTGTGGAGAGCGACGCAGACCTTCCTCCTGTCGTGTAAGAATTTGGTGGTTTTTCATTTAAATTCGTAGATCTATTTATTATTTAAATCATAAAAAGGTGAAAGGTTGTGGTTTTACTCGGGGGTTGATGTTCCTCCGTAAACACTTTCCAAATGAGTTTATGGTCTCAATCGTTAGTTACAAGTCTTCATCAATACAACATGATGTTCATGTATTAAATTACGGTGGTCCCATTTAAATGCTCCGTACTTGTATATTTCTAGTCTTTTCGACCACTCAAAGCGCTTTTACACTACATCTGCATTCACCAGTCACACACATTCATACACTGAGCCTAAGTGCTCAAACGGAAACTAACATTCACACACATTCATACACTGGCGGAACAGCCGCCAGGGGCAAATTCGGGGTTCAGTATCTTGCCCAAGGACACTTCGACATGCAGCCAGGGGGAGCCAGGGATCGAACCGCCGACCTTCCGATTAACGGCCAACCCGCTCTACCTGAGCCACAGCCGCCCAAGAAAAAAAGAAAATAGACGATAAAGTAGTGTATGCTTTAGGGAGGGACTACCTTGAGTTGACAAGTCGCCTCGATGGCGACCTGTCAATCAGAGTGACTCATATCCACTGCACTGTGTACATTTAACCAGCGCCGTTGAAAAAACTCATTAAGAGGCGGCTGTTTTTTCCGCAAATTACATTTTTCCAACTAAATGATCTGTATCTGTACTCACAATGGGCGGAGCTTAACCTGACGTGACCGGAAGTTGCCTGAATTTGATATGGGTTGATCAGACGTTGGTATATTTATTATAAACTATTTACAGCACAGCCTCAGAATAGAGCTGCAGAGCAAAGCTTTTCACAGAACAAGTGTTTTTTTTAATAAAAGTTCCTATTTATTGTTTATTAGAAACCTATTATACTGACACATTTTCACTCTGATACAAAAAAACCTGCTTATAATCACCTATAAAATGACAACTTCATTTATTGTACAGAATAAACGTTTAGAAGATTTACAAAAAACTACGATTTGGAGTTTGTTTTTTTTAAGTTTAGAGGTGGTGGCAGGTAGATTTTGTTACTGGGGTACAGGGCAGGCTAGCTGTTTCCTCATTTGCAGCCTTTATGCTAAGCTAAGCTAACCGACAGCTGGCTGTAGTTTTACATTTACCATAAAGACATGAGCGTGGTGTCGATCTTCTCATCTAACGCTCCACCAGAAAACCAATAAACATATTTCTTGAAACTGGAAACCACTGCTTGACATTGCTGTAGATTTGTTTTAAACTTTAAACACAAAAAAGAAGAAAGAATTAGAACAAATATATAAAAAAAAAAACCCAGAAAAACCCCGACCCAAACACAGTCACTGACATACGTTAAAAGGCAAAACAAAAACAGATGAAAAAGGTTGAAGAGTAGCAAATAATTGTCTATTGTGACAGAAATGTCCATACAGGCTGAAGTATGTTCGGGGATGTAAAAACATGGTAACAGACGTGTTCCTTAAACCAACTCTGTGACGTTTATCTGGATGCGGCTGGTCTGAAGAACAGAGACAGAGAACAAGAGAAATTAGTTGGATTAGATTAGCTGAGATCTGTTTATCCTAAATTTGTTTTGTTTTTAGCCTCCTTCCTGCTCCTTTGACATCATTACTCTCCACTAAAACCCGATTGGCTTCTTCCCTCTTTCGGATTTTTCCTTCTGTGCTCTCCTTATCCCTCCATCTTCGCCTGCAGGTGCATGTCGTTTAAGACAATAGGGGCTGGCAGCTGATCCTTTTCCAGAGGTTTAAAAGGGCTCTGATGACAGCAGTGAATCACACAACCACTTACCACACCTCGTGTGTTTGTTAGTGTGTGTTTGTGTGTGTGTGTGTGTGTGTGTGTGTGTGTGGTGGCCATCAGTGGCTGTTTATGTCCCTCCCCTCGTCATCAGCAGCGGCGTTGCCTCTTATCCAGCCTCTCTCATCTGTCCGTCTGTCCATCCGGTGTGTCGCTCAGTGAGTCACCACACAGCTAGAGGCCGCCTCCTCCTCCTGTGCAGGTAGCCGCCGGCTGTTTGATAAACTGTTTCAGTGTCTGACGCACGAGAGCAGTTAATTGCAGGCTGTCGTTTACTTTGCGATCAGCAGAGCTGCTGTCATATCAACAGCTGGAAGAGAAAATACATCGCAAAAACACTCGAGGTCCTTCTATGTGATGTATTTCCTGCAGAAACAGGTCACTGACGGGTCAATCTTAAATGTAAGCGTTATGGAGAGGATGGCAGTTTCCTTTGATAGAAGGTGAATAGAGGTCGGATTGGGGCTCTTACTGTGTGTCCCTAGTTTTAGACCATTCGTACACCTTTGTTCAAAGTGGTCCCCCATCTATATTTATATATCTATATCTACATGGAGAGAGCGATAGATGGGTAGATATAGATAGATAGAAAGATAGAAAGGCAGATTAATAAAACAATTTTGATTATTATGTATTTTTCTGTTATAGATAGATATTTTATTTTAGTTATTTGATGAACCATGTTGAACCATTATTTGATTGAACCACTTTTTTAATTCATTCATTCATTTTTGTGTTTATTTATTTTATTTAAAGGAGGCCTATTATGCAATTCCAGATTTTATGACGTAAAAGAGACAGGAGCATCTACAGCTTGTTTCAGACAGAGGCTGACGTGGAGGCCTGCAAGAAGAGTCCAGTATAAGACAGAAAATTATATTTTTTGAACTTTGAATCATGCAAAGCTGCCATAAAGGAGTCACAGAACTACAATATAGGACTGGAAAAGTAGTTTAATAGATTTACTTTAAACACACGTTTACTGTTAGATAAATAGATAGATCATTATCTGTTACAGCTACTTGTGCAGGATGTGGTCACCACTGAAGATGCACTTGTGTCCATTTAATTATTTTAAGATATATTTTCTGACTCACCAGGACTTTAGAGGCAAAACTTACAAATCCAAAATAACTTTGTTTCAACCTGACTATTTATTTATTTATTTCAAAGGGACAGTGCATATTAATGGACATCTTAGCTTTTCAGCAATGTAAATATGCCAGAATTAGCCCGAAGGCTATTTTACATCTGTAGTCCCCCGGCAGGTCGTCAAAGTACAAGGTAACACAGTTAAACTTTAAATTAACCTTAAACGCACCCTGTCCACCTTAGTGGATATTTAAAAAGTCTTTAAAAAATGTGTGTTTAAAAAAAAATTCAAATTTTATTTTTCATGCCTAAAGAGCAATAAAGATTCATAGGAAATAAATCTTGACATAGGCTGTCATAATTAATGCATGAAAGGGTTAGAAACACAATTTTCAACATCATATTATAAAAGGCACCACAGTTTTGTAGACAGGGTTATTTCATTTAAAGTGCTGTTTATGCAGTAAAGTGCCATTCTCTGAAATTAAGTACTATTAATTATGTTTAAGTGCTATTTAGTGCAGTTAAGTGCTGCATCTAGTACAGTAAACACACACATACGCAGTAAAGTGCCATTCTATGAAATTTCTGGATGCAAGCCCACAGCCAGTTGCACAAATGATGCACAAGCATCCAAATTATTTTCATTTGATGGAACAATGCGGCCGTGAAAAATCATGAGTACATACGTACACCCAGCTAAAAATAATGCAGTCTAATACGACGGTCCTGCATTAGAGCACACCTGAGGATAGAAATGGGGTGGGCAAAATAATACAAACACTGGTCAGTATAACACAATACAATTCAGCAGCAGCACAATGTAAGACAGCTTCAACAAAAACTGGGCACAACCTTTTTAAATAATAATAATTAATAATAAATTTATATTTTTGGGCCACAAGATGGCAAAAGAACAAGGTGACATCCACACAGCCCAGATATATTTTCCACAGAGCAACATTCATTTTATGTCATGTTTCTCTCGACTTGATAAATGTAAGTATTCACTCTCCTTTTAGCTGCTAATGTTCCACTTTCTTCAACAGCTAGTTAGTTAACTTTCTCTGCTGTTCAGGCCTGAGCAGCGTACAGTCTGTTTATCAGAGCTCGTTTGCTGAACAGGTTGATGAGAGCGTTGAGGCTGAACCAAACGTGCCGTAAAACCAGAACTGAGAACTAAAAGTGCTTTAAAAAAAGACTCTGTAGTTTATTAAAAGTAGGTTTCTATAACCTTGATGGATCCTCTCGTTATTATTTCTTTCTTTTTCTTTTTTTACCTCGCCCCATCGTCACTCACAGCTTGTGCTAGTAAACATGAATAATGTGAGCAGATAAGTGAAAAAGCAGCCGTGACAGCCGGTGTGTTTGATGTCGATATGTCAGGCTGCTGCTGCTGCAGAGAGGGAGGAAAAGGGAGGGATTGGAAGAAAAAGCAGAAAAAGAGATCTTTGCATGCTTGTTGCCGCTGCCCTTTCTCTCGTCTTGTCAACAAATTGCGTCTGACATTTGAGTGTGTGTGTTGGTGTGTGTGTGTGTGTTGGTTTGTAAGAGAACTGGAGCCTCCAGACATCTACAGCAGTGATTCTCCAGCTGACGGCTCCGTCTCTTCCTCCTCTGTCTGCTGCTCATCCACCTGCTCTGGCTTCTGTAATTTGTATCAACAGTTGAATATCCAGGGTAACTTAAACTCACCAAACAATAACTGCTTGTGTTTAGGGTCAGGATAAAGGTTTTGTCCCCCTCCTTATGTGTAAAGTGTCCTTGGGTCCCCTGAAAGGGCACAAGACCAGCTGTTTTCATTATTGTTATTATTATGCTTTTTGCCCTTTTCGCTCTCCTTTATCAAGTACTATAACTTTTTTTGTGCATGTAACAGGTTTGCAAAGTGAAAAAGCCCAAAGTCCACCCCAAAGGGAGTTCCCATCTCCCACAGAAAACACTGCTCTGCCTGAAAACAGCTCGTTTGTAGGCCAGCCTTTTCCTTTTGTTCTCTCGTCACATCTCGTTCTCCCCGATTCGTCACAAACGGACGCATGGTCAGGACCCGTCAGTTTGTAACGCACTGGGGATCCCTATAGCTTCACAGCTCAGCGCAGTGGGGGATGCCCTGTATTATCAGTTCTTGACGGTAAAGGAAGGTGAGAGGAAGGGGACCTCGGAAAACAATTGGTTTGGGTCTGACAACTATGGATGAAGTTATTCCGGCCAGAGAATCGATTCTGAGAGGATGCTTTGTTTATTCCAGCGACAGGTTAAAACAGTGAATGGGTGTGGTTCTGTAAATTAGCAAAGCAGAAATATCTTCAAATCAAATTCTTCCAAATAAGGGTTTTCTATTACAAATCTTAAAAATTCCAACACATCTGATGGAAAACTTCTTTACACTTGGTGTTCAAATAACCTATATTATTGACATAACCCATAATAGCATGCACTCATGATTCAAGCTAGCACATCGAAAGACACGCCAAAATTTACAAATAGAAACTGAGAAATATACAAAGGCATATGCATGTTAACAGGGAATTAACTTGCTCTACAGCTGAAGAAACATAAGCAGATTCTCACCTGATTCACTCACACACAAATCACAAGGGAGAAGTAATATAAGCTTAATTGTCCCTGCTGAACTGAATTTAACTGTCTGTCGCTGTAACGGCGAATTCGCGGGTCCACGTGCGTGCGCTATTTGTGCATCCACGCTCCCCGCCGATCTGGGTCTATATGATATTTAACAGAAAAGACTGAGTAAGAACGTGGTTGGGGTGGATGGAGGGCCAGAACCCCGACTTTGAACCAGGAGAGCGCTGTTTGTGTCCCATGTGAAACAAAAAGTCAACATTGGATATTTTTATTTAAGTTAAGCAAGTTACGTAAATTACTTAAGTGTCGTTCATTAACTTACGTGTTAACTGACGTAACCCAAACCATGATGTTTTCTTAACCTTAACCAAGTAGTTTTGTTGCCTAAATCTAACCAAATTGCAGCGTTTCTCAACTTTGACAACGTGCCGTGTCAAAATGGCGATGTTTCGAAACACTAGCGTTTTATTTTCAAAGTGTAATTGGACGTTGCATATTTATTGTTGTTAACTTTACCAGACGTTACATATTTGTTGTTGCTAAGCATTGCTAACTTGACCGGGGAGCCCTAAACGTATAAAAATGGTAGCCAGGGGCGTTAAAAAAGCAACGCCAAAGGGCCTTGACCAAGCGTCAATATGTGACGTGTCAGGAGTGAGAATGTGTTGTTACAGCAAAATGCGCGTCATATCGCTCGCCTAGCGACTAGTCAGACACGCCCTCAAAAACAGTAACTACCCTCCAGGCGGTCAAAGGACATAAAGTTGTCTCTGTGATGTAGAGACACAGCTCAGTTTTTAATAACTCTGAATCTCTTTCTACAGTCCACGTTGCTTGGCTGGTTCGGGAACATGTACAGATGAACCGAAGCCGTGTTTACCGGCTTTTCTGGGCCCACCCTACTCTGCTTCTGATTGGCTAGTAGTCCTTACCTAGGAACTGCGCATGTGCAACTCCCAACAAAGATCTTTTAGAAGTAAGATGCATCACTCTGTAGCTAAAACGGAGCGTTCAACGCAAGGTGAAAAGAGGAGCTGCAGCAATGTGCAGCATGACAAAAAGATGTTTTTTGAAAATTCAACCTGTTCTGGTACAACCCCTAAATATAATGATGAACCTGAAAATGAGCAGAATATGACCTCTTTAAGATTAATGTAAGAGGGAGATGCATAACGAGGGGGAAACAGACTTCAGCACAATACTGGACCAGAATGATAACATCAGCCCATGTCAATTTCCACACATTTATAACCGACCACGTATTCTGTAACTATTTTGTTGAAATCTTTTTGTTCTCTTTACTGTTTATGCCAAGAAAATATCCTTTAGTTTTATTACCACACACAAAAACTGCTTTAAAAACATCCAAAAATGGCTTGAAACAGCCACGTTTCTTCAGTTTGAAGAGATGGTCAACTGCACTTCCATTAGTAAGGCTACAGGAATAAATACTAACAATATATACTGTATATATTTATTGTGCTCGTTTGGAGGGTTTGCTGTATGACACTGTGCATCGTGTGTGATGGGAGGTGGAGATCATACTGTCAGGTTTAAAGCAGCCAGGAGGGACTGACGGTCTACAGTTCTGCGTGAACGTAGCTGCACTGTGTAGTTTTCACCTTCCTTCACTCATTTCAGTTTGCACTTTTATAATACCAGCCTGTCACTCCGACACTCTGGGCCAATCACCTTCCTTCTGTACACTCCTGGCAGGTGCACGCTGCACATCTTTACTGGAATATATCGATCACTCACTTTTGCTCACTTTTGTTTGTGCGTTGCACCGTAACATGATGTACACAGGGGCACTTGTGTATACTTGACTAGTATAAAATATTTAACCTTCTTTTTTTCTCTGTGTGCAGGTTCACATCGGTTACCTCCCCAACAAGAGAGTTCTGGGCCTCAGCAAGCTGGCCAGGTGAGCACGTTTACTCTCCCTCTGTGTGTGTATTTTCCCTGGGCAGTTTTTTAATTGGCCAACTTACAGTAGAGGTGTGTGTGTGTGTGAGAGAGAGAGAGCTAGTGTGTATTTAAGCTGATTATTAAAACTTGTGTGTGTACTGGCGTAGATTCTGATCCCAATGACCCCAATACCTTGAGGCTTATCACACTAACACCCCTTACTAACCCAGTGCTGTACATAAACACTCACGTTGATGAGAAACAGCCAAACCATTCACCTTTTTTAAGATAAAAAAAAACTAAGCTCTCGGGCTGGTGCACTGTAGCCTGTTGCAACTCCTGCTGCACACTAAGTGACGCAAATTTAAAAACCGAAAGAATTTGGTTCCGATCTGAAAGCGAGATAATTTTATACAACGTGGGGGGTTTTTTTCCCCCGAGATCTTGGGACAAGTCAGATGGAGCAAAAAGAAAAACAAACATCAGTCAGGATTTCAGATATTATTACGGCCAAATTCATTTGGAAGAGAAAACACAGGTAAACAGTAAAATCACCACCCAAACTGTCTGAGTCATCTATCACAGATTAGAGACTGCCGTCCTGTAATTTTCTTGCACACCAGAGACATTTCCAGTACACTCGCTTGCAGTTTTAACTCCACATAGAGCCGGGCGATATGGCCAATAATGTTATCACGATGGAAAATTCATATAATTCAATATATTATTTCTTTCAAGTTTAAAGGCTGATTTTTTTGCTCCTGAGTTAAAGTGAGGTAGAACATTCAAAGCAATTATGATCAATTATTTTTTCAACAAATATGCATGAGTAAAATAAAGTGAAATCAGTCCCTTTTCCTCAACAAAATAAATATCTTAGTAGAAAAATTAAGTGCTGGTTTGTTCGTGATTCAAAATAATTGAATCAAACATTTACTGAACATTTATTTTATATTTGTTATATTTTTATTAAGGGAAAATTATAACCCAATAATTAGCATTATTGTTTTATTTCCTAGCCTGTCCTCCAGATACATTGGTTTCGATAATCTGGATAAATTGTTGGCTTGTTTATGACCAGTTTGATCTTCTAAGTGCTCCGGTTTCTTGCCCAGTTGAATTAGTAGTATTTTTTTATTTCATGTTATGAAGATCGTCATAATCCCTTTCCCTTTATCCCAATTTATAACCAAAACCTGCCTTATTATAAAAATGGAATTCTATGCAAAATAAAACACTTACAGCTGCTCAATCTAGCGGACTATAGACATGAACGTTGTCTTTCCAGAACAATACTTGGACGTAAATGTGGGAAGCCAGGAGCGATCACATCATTCTCATTGTACTCCTACTGGTTGGTTTGGGTGCCTTCACAAAATCTTTTTCCTCCCCACGGACAAGAACAATATCCTCTGAATTCCTGGTCGTTTTGATCAGGCTAACAAACTCCATCTTTAAAATTATAACCAGGCTTTGTTTAGGGTAATATTAATTCCCTCAAAATGGACCATGTATTTTGTCATTGATAAATACCTGTCTTGTCTCTGGTCATGTTCCGTCCGCCTTTACGCCCCTGCTAAAAAATGAAAATCTCGACCCCTCTGTTCTCTCTAACTTCAGGCCCATCTCTAAACTGTCTTTCTTATCTAAAGTCCTGGAGAAAGTAGTTTTTACCCAGCTGCAAACATTTTTAATTAATAATAATGTTTATGAAAAGTTCCAGTCCGGCTTCAAACCCCGTCACAGCAGTGAAAAGGCACTTTTAAGAGTTTTTAATGACTTGATTTTAACTGTTGACCACTCAATCCTCCTGTCACGGTTGGAAAATTGTGTGGGAATCAAAGGTACTGCACTTAGGTGGTTTCAGTCCGATAGGAGCTTCTCTGTTCACCTCGGTGATTATTCCTCTGAAACGGCCCCATTTACCTGCGGTGTCCCTCAAGGTTCTGTCTTAGGCCCCATCTTATTTTCTTTGTATATGCTGCCCCTGGCCTCCATCTTTGAGAGGTATGAGGTCTCTTTCTGCTGTTTTACAGACGATATTCAAATTTATTTGCCCCTGAATGTAAAAGCAAAGGGTTCACTGCAGCCCCTGCGTGACTGTATGAAGGACATCAAAACGTGGATGAACCTAAATTTCCTCAACCTATTTGGAGACAAGACAGAGATCATAGTGTTTGGACACCCTGAACTGTTTGATGTAGATTCTCACGGCCCTTTAACTTCAAACAGCCGCTCAACTGTGAGGAGTCTTGGTGTTGTATTGGATAGTGCGTTTAAATTTGATAAACAGATATCTGCCCCAACTCTCGAATGTTGAAAACACATCTCTTTTCTTTGGCATTTCCTTCGAGTTAAGTCTGTTATTATTACTGGCAATTTTAATATCACTATATATCGTATACTGTATATTATAATGTTTTATTGCTGTACTTTTACTGTGTGAGTAGTGTCTTGTTGTTGTATTTAACCTTGGTTGTTTGAAGTGTGCTATATAAATAAAATTGAATATTGAAAAATAGCGTATGTGTCAAGAGACACGAGAGTTCATGGCCACGTATGGATCATTCGGATGACCTTTGCCGAGATTATTTTTACCACAAGATTTTACAGACAAGCAGCTTATTAAGTCACACGACTGTTCGATCGACCAGACGTCGTCGTTCTCATCAGAAGAGATGGAAGAACGGGACAAATTGGAGAACAAAGGTCACCTGCAAATTCCCTTTCCTGCCACACCTTCACCTGTCCACATGACTTAACATTTACATTTGCACTGAAGGCTGCAGTGAGATCAGAGCTGCGGCTTCTTTCCTCTAAAAAACAAAACAAACCGGTAATCTTTAACGCAGCTTTAGCTGTTTTTCTTCTTTCCAACTGTAGCATACATCCTTCCCTTTGCCTATGTACAGTATGTCCTTGTGCTGCCCGTTTGGTCTTGTGACATTTTCTTGGAGGTGGACGAGGTGGAATTTGTCCAAAGTGGTTTTTCTCACAGAGAAGAGCAAGAGGTCGAAGGTGAAGACCGGGTCGTTCCTGCAGATCTGTTTGTTTTCCTTCTGTTCCCTCGTCAGACCAGGCAATAGCTATAAAATGGCTGTTTTTGTTGTTTAATGCTTATTTTGATGCCTTCCAATGGGGTTGGGTTTACCTCGTTTTATGAGAAATGTCCACATAAACAACCTCAGTTGATGAGATGTGACATAAGAGGACATTTAAAAAGACGGTAGAGCTCAGTTACGTTTATCATCAGCTGCAGAAAACACAAAATGATTGACCGTCTTTGAAAAAAAATACTCTTGAAGTTCCTCTTTGTTGTCAACTATTCATCAGACTTTCCTTCTCGGCCGCTACGCTACTCCTACGAACGCCGTCTGGCTCTGCCATCCCTTCACACAAAGCAATCTCAGTCCCGGCTGTTCTCATCTGTGACACCACGATGTTGAAACAAACTACCACACGCCATCAGAGCACGGGCGTCCCTCTCTAACTTCAACAATCTCACGAAAACTCATCTCTTCCGAGAACACCTCTTATAACACATCACTAACCCCCAACCTCTGCACTTCCTGCGCTCTCCTTTATCTATCTTCTTACAGTTCTCTTGTATTGATTGCACTATTTGTTAACTCTTACTTCTTTCCCTAAGTATTTACCTTATTGATGCTGGGCGTGCTAATATCTCTTTCTAGTATTTATTTTCACTTGTAGATCTCTTACTGTATTGATACGTGTGTGATTTTTTTCTCAAATGTAAGTTGATTTGGATAAAAGTGTAAATATAAATACACAATTACATTGAAACAAAAATAGAGAATGGATAGAAACAAAAATGCCTGTCCTGGTCTAATCCATATTATCATCTAATGTCATCTCTCACTATGCACCTTGGATAGAAACTGCTTCAGCTACTCCTCCCTGGCCCAACTATTCTTCTCCCTTGTTGAGACATTATTCTTTCTCTCTCTCCTCTTCTGTGTTGTTCTGTATCCACATTGGATAAACTCCAGAAAGTTCCATTTTTGCAGCATTGTGTATGTAATTGAAAGAACGTCAACACATGGCTATGTCTCTGGTTGAGATTGGAACGAGCTGTGGTTTATCTATTTTACCCAAATTACAATAAATAAGCTATTTCTCCTCAATGTTTCAATTATAAGTTAATTCATAATTGCTTATCAGCTGTTTTAATATAGATTTTGAGCTGATATTGTAGCAGAAGTAGATGCTTTATACATAAAGGTTTTTCATTTCAGACATGTTGTGCTCAAGCATTTGTAAATAACACACAAAAAAACATTCATAGTTTTGGTATTGAGTAAGTGTGTATGTAAAGAAAACTTCAGAAATGGGTTAAATGCAGAGATGCTCACAAGTCACTGAGCTAGAGTCCAAGTCTCTGAGCTAAAGTCCAAGTCAAGTCTCAAGTCACTGAGCTAGAGTCCAAGTCAAGTCTCAAGTCTCTGAGCTAGAGTCCAGGTCGAGTCTCAAGTCACTGAGCTAGAGTCCAAGTCGAGTCTCAAGTCTCTGAGCTAGAGTCCAAGTCGAGTCTCAAGTCTTTGAGCTAGAGTCCAAGTCAAGTCTCAAGTCTTTGAGCTAGAGTCCAGGTCGAGTCTCAAGTCACTGAGCTAGAGTCCAAGTCGAGTCTCAAGTCACTGAGCTAGAGTCCAAGTCTCTGAGCTAGAGTCCAAGTCAAGTCTCAAGTCTCTGAGCTAGAGTCCAAGTCACTGAGCTAGAGTCCAAGTCAAGTCTCAAGTCACTGAGCTAGAGTCCAAGTCAAGTCTCAAGTCTTTGAGCTAGAGTCCAGGTCGAGTCTCAAGTCACTGAGCTAGAGTCCAAGTCACTGAGCTAGAGTCCAAGTCACTGAGCTAGAGTCCAAGTCGAGTCTCAAGTCACTGAGCTAGAGTCCAAGTCTCTGAGCTAGAGTCCAAGTCAAGTCTCAAGTCTCTGAGCTAGAGTCCAAGTCACTGAGCTAGAGTCCAAGTCGAGTCTCAAGTCACTGAGCTAGAGTCCAAGTCTTTGAGCTAGAGTCCAAGTCGAGTCTCAAGTCTCTGAGCTAGAGTCCAAGTCGAGTCTCAAGTCACTGAGCTAGAGTCCAGGTCGAGTCTCAAGTCACTGAGCTAGAGTCCAAGTCTTTGAGCTAGAGTCCAAGTCGAGTCTCAAGTCTCTGAGCTAGAGTCCAGGTCGAGTCTCAAGTCACTGAGCTAGAGTCCAGGTTGAGTCTCAAGTCTCTGAGCTAGAGTCCAGGTCGAGTCTCAAGTCTCTGAGCTAGAGTCCAGGTCAAGTCTCAAGTCTCTGAGCTAGAGTCCAAGTTGAGTCTCAAGTCACTGAGCTAGAGTCCAAGTCTCTGAGCTAGAGTCCAAGTCAAGTCTCAAGTCTCTGAGCTAGAGTCCAAGTCACTGAGCTAGAGTCCAAGTCGAGTCTCAAGTCACTGAGCTAGAGTCCAAGTCTCTGAGCTAGAGTCCAAGTCGAGTCTCAAGTCTCTGAGCTAGAGTCCAAGTCGAGTCTCAAGTCACTGAGCTAGAGTCCAGGTCGAGTCTCAAGTCTCTGAGCTAGAGTCCAGGTCAAGTCTCAAGTCTCTGAGCTAGAGTCCAAGTCGAGTCTCAAGTCTCTGAGCTAGAGTCCAAGTCGAGTCTCAAGTCACTGAGCTAGAGTCCAGGTCAAGTCTCAAGTCTCTGAGCTAGAGTCCAGGTCAAGTCTCAAGTCTCTGAGCTAGAGTCCAAGTCAAGTCTCAAGTCTCTGAGCTAGAGTCCAAGTTACTGAGCTAGAGTCCAAGTCGAGTCTCAAGTCACTGAGCTAGAGTCCAAGTTACTGAGCTAGAGTCCAAGTCGAGTCTCAAGTCACTGAGCTAGAGTCCAAGTCTCTGAGCAAGAGTCCAAGTCAAGTCTCAAGTCTCTGAGCTAGAGTCCAAGTCAAGTCTCAAGTCTCTGAGCTAGAGTCCAGGTCAAGTCTCAAGTCTCTGAGCTAGAGTCCAGGTCAAGTCTCAAGTCTCTGAGCTAGAGTCCAAGTCAAGTCTCAAGTCTCTGAGCTAGAGTCCAAGTTACTGAGCTAGAGTCCAAGTCGAGTCTCAAGTCACTGAGCTAGAGTCCAAGTTACTGAGCTAGAGTCCAAGTCGAGTCTCAAGTCACTGAGCTAGAGTCCAAGTCTCTGAGCAAGAGTCCAAGTCAAGTCTCAAGTCTCTGAGCTAGAGTCCAAGTCAAGTCTCAAGTCTCTGAGCTAGAGTCCAAGTCAAGTCTCAAGTCTCTGAGCTAGAGTCCAAGTCAAGTCTCAAGTCTCTGAGCTAGAGTCCAGGTCAAGTCTCAAGTCTCTGAGCTAGAGTCCAGGTCAAGTCTCAAGTCTCTGAGCTAGAGTCCAAGTCAAGTCTCAAGTCTCTGAGCTAGAGTCCAAGTCAAGTCTCAAGTCTCTGAGCTAGAGTCCAGGTCAAGTCTCAAGTCTCTTGTGGTTATAATGAATGCTGTGTTTAATCCAGGCTGCTTATAACACTGCATAGCTAGAAGGAATTCTGTAACTGTAACCTGTTTTTCACTTACAGAGCACGACCATGTAATGTGAAATGCAATCAATGACAGCTTATTAACTACTGTAAGCCAACACATCACTCAGATTCTCAAACCAGTGTAACTTATAGTTTTATTAGAACATTTAGAACATTAATGTTCTAACTAAATAAAACTGTAAGATTACATGATAAATAAACCTGTAACCTGTTTGCAGCTACCGTTAATAGTTAACGTGATGGTAGCCAGTGGGACGTAAATGATTATGTTAATCGACTGCCAGAATTTGGCAAGTAAACAAATGCTCATTCATCTTTTCATAACGAAGACAGTAAGCTAAAGAAAGAAGCAAGCTAACGTTAGATGTCCAATGCTGAGATAAACATGTTTACTAACCTCAGGTTACTAATCTATTTTGTTTGGGCAAAGTACAAAGTTTTAAAGTCAAAGTTTATGATGAATGGCACAGCAGCCGCCGGTGTTTGTTGTCCTCGCACACTTGGGGCCGCGCGCAGCTGATGCCACGTGTTACGTTGGCAGGTTATAGGTAACACAGGAAGGGGAATAACAGCAAGCTCATCAGACGTTTCCTAAAAATAAACATTGTTCACGAGTCCCGCACCTCAAGTCTGAGTCAAGTCTGAAGTCTTTTAAGGACGAGTCTCAAGTCACTGTGTGTGCGACTTAAGTCGGACTCCAGTCCGAGTCTCAAACTCGAGTCCCCATATCTGATTAAATGACTGCATATTTTGTGCAGTTTTGAAAATGCGACTACAGATTGGACAAAATGATGTTAGCGGTTGTAAAAATCTGTAAGCAAACTCAAACAGGATGAACTAGTGCGTTTGTTTGGGACTAATTTCAGCGGCGGATTGAATCCACATGTGGTGCTCTAGTGAGAATTTGGGGCAGCACGACAGCGTATGTGGGACTGAGTCAAAATTTATGTTCATGATGAAGGAACATGTCACCCAGTGCAGCACACTGAACAGTTTGTGAACAACAATAGAGCTTTATGGTTCAGAGGAAGAACATATATCAGTCTGTGATACATGCAAAGTGCTTGCTAGTAGAGACATTCATTGTTTTGAAAATAAACACTGAGAACATTGCTAGACTTTGAAGTTGATCTTCAGTGAAGTTTTTGAGAGAGAAATCCTGGTGGAGAAACCAGGATGTTTTTTGTCTCTGGTCAGTTAGTTGTCATTTTTATCTCCCATCCGTCTCAGTATGTCAGTGTTTCACTGTTTTTGCACTAAGGATGAATTACTGAGGTGTTTTTCTCTCTTTTATGCTCCCTCAGGATTGTTGAGATCTACAGCCGTCGACTACAAGGTACCAAAGAAAAGTCGCACAGATTCTCTGTTTAATCTGTTCAAAGTTCAGTGTTTCTGTTTCACTCTGTCAGCCTAAATGTTGTTTGTTCAGTCTAACCTGGTTCATGTTTGTTTGAATGTCCACAGTTCAGGAGAGGTTGACCAAACAGATTGCTGTGGCGATCACCGAGGCCCTGCAGCCCACCGGCGTCGGCGTGGTCATCGAGGCAACGTAGGCTACAACCACCAAAAAACTCAATTTTCTCTCTCCTCTATTCTCCTTTTCTGTCCTCCATCTTTCCCTTACGCCTGGTGCACACTAGAGCTTAAAAATGTTTCATTTCTTTCATCTGATTGTGTTTCCTCCCCTTCGCCTCTTTTCCCCTGTCCTCTTTTCTTCACTTTCACATAAGCATCACTTCACTTCCTCTTTTAAATCTTCCCTTTCCTTCACCTCCTCACTCTTTTCTACTCCTCTCACCTTTTTATTGATTTACATGCTTTTACCTGTTTCATCACTTTAATTTCCATCACTCATTTCTGTCACATCTCCTCTTTTCTTTCACCTCCTCTTTCTTTTTTAACTTGAATCTAATTTCTTTAACAGTCTTCAATTCATTTCCTTTGACTTCCTTCTTTTCTGTCACATCATCTCTTTTCCTTCACCTCCTTTCTGTTACGCTGTCCTTTTTATTGTCTTATTTATTTATTGTCTTCCTTTTTTCTGTTACACCTCTTCCCTTCCCTCACCTTCATCTTTTTTATACTTTTTTTTATTATCTCTAATTGCTTTTATTTCCATCCTCTTTTCTGTTCTTTCCTTTTTAATCTAATGTCTTTTTACAATTATTTCATATACACCACTTCATTTGCTTTCATTTACTTCCTCTTTTCTGTTCCTCGTTTCCTTTTCTTTACCATTTCTTGCTTTTTTAAACTTTCTATTCTTTGACCTTGCCTCCATTTCTTACCCTCTTTTTTTATTCTTTTTTGTCTTTATCTCTGTTCCGTTTCTGATTTCTAACACTTTTCTTCGTCCGTCTTCTTTTTATCTCTTTTTACATTAGTTCATTTCTGTTCCCTTCATCTTTAATCTCCCTCCTCTTCCTCTCCGCAGTCACATGTGCATGGTGATGCGAGGCGTTCAGAAGATGAACAGTAAAACCGTCACCAGCACCATGTTGGGAGTTTTCAGGGAAGATCCAAAAACCCGAGACGAGTTTCTGACGCTGATCAGGAGCTGAGGAGGAAGAAGCACCTCCTCTTCATTCTCCTGTTGCCTGAAGTTACCTCCACCTGTGTGTATGTGTGTGCGTGCATGTGTGTAGTGTGTGTGTGTGTGTGTGTTTCCCTCTCACCAAAGGCAGTGACAGAGTGTGTACTGTGTTTTCAGTCCGAGTTTTGTTTGAGGCCGTGCGCCGACATGTTTACTTACCGACGGGACAGACTTTACCCCCTGTTGTCCACGTGTGTTGTGGGTGCTCATCAATCAAATATCGGTCTTTGGCCTTGAAATAGAGACGGTGAGTTTAACGGAAAGAATCCACCCTGAAAAATATAATCACTTGTTATACTATTATTAAAAAGATTAAAACCAACTGTTGCATTTCTAGATGACATGCTTTCTAGTTTAAAGGTCCTTTACAAAGAGCATGTCACAAATAAAGAAGACAAAAATGTGTTTAACGTTTACAGTAATACTTAAATAATAGTTTTTGAGCTCAGTGATGTTTTAGATCAACACAGAACAGTGAGAGCTCTTTTAAACAAAACTGTAAATCCAAGATTCTCGCAAATAATTGGAGGCATATTCACAAAACATCATGAGGCTAAAAGTAACTCCTAACTGTTATAGTGTGCAGAAACCAAAATAAACTAAGATTTGATGGCCGTATCAGTGAGTCCACAAAGCATTTTAGTGCGAAAACCAGTTAATGTGTCTCATCGCATTCGTGTTTTCAGAAAAACAATAAAAGAGAAGTCCATTTTAACAGAGCGAGAGTTAATGCGCTTCATCCAAATAATTCAGTAACAGTGGGAAATATGGTTTTCACAACTCTCCAGTAATGCAACTTTGGAAAAAATGCAGTTTGCAACCTTGATGAACTTGGATATTTCTCCAAACTAAGACACAACTTTGCTTTACAACTCATCAAGTTAATAAATAAAGCCAATTGTTTGATTACCCGATAAAATGGTGCTATATGTACAATTAGCCGATTATGGGATACAGATTTTGGAAAAAGATTCAACGTGCAGATGGCGTTTGATGCCAGATACAATAAAATACTCGACAAGTCACAGAGCGGTCACCTGTCAGCCAATCACAGAGGACATAGTGAGTGAGATCATTCATGAAACATGGTGTCAGCCGGAGTAACTCTCAGCAGCTTTCTGAAAAGCTCTTAAGAAGAGGGTCTAAAGAACTTTTAACGTGTTGGTGAGATCAGATACTTATTTAATGTCAAATATCTTTAGGTATTTGACTGTTGGTTGGACAGAACAAGCTATTTGAAGACGTCACTTTGGGCTCTGGGCGACATGGGCGACATTTTATAGACTAAACAACTAATTGAAGAATTAGAAAGATTAGGAGGAGAATGAAGAAGGATTATTCAATAGAGAAAATAAAATCCCTTTGTTTAAATCTTTTCACTTGCATTTGATTATGTTGTTGTGATGAACGGCACTTTAACACTCTGTCACATCTCAGAAACCACAGTCCTTGTTATTCAGGACTGTTTGGTTGCTGAGATTATCAGTTGATTTAAAACCAGAACTGAAATCATGAAGTTTGTATTATAAAAACAAACAAAAAGAGCCATTTAAATATGAAACATCATGAAATGTTTGGTGCAAAACCAAACATGGGCAGACTGCAGTAAATCCACTGCTTCTGAAAATGACACTATTATTCTCATTTTTACATTAAAATCTTGTTAATATTATGGTCCTGTGGAAGGATCTGCCTGTATGTGCCAAAACAAAAACAAAAAAAAAAAGACTTCGGTGCTGCAGGCTCACCGCTGTCTGAAAACAAACTCAATATTTTAATTAACTTGAGAGGCTAATTAAATGTGTGTGTGTCAGTGTGTGTTCTTTACACTTTTCATCCCAGCAGATGAACCGTGTGGAGACTAATGTGTGTGTGTTGTTCAGTGACTTTGTGTTTACTCGTGTAGCATATTTTTGCATCTTAAAGCGTTTTAACGTTGCCAGACAGACTTTGGGAGGTTGTGTAATGTCGTGACAGAAGTTGTGTGTGTGTGTGGTCGTCGTGTGTGTGTGTTTGTTTGTTGGGAGGAAGATGAACGCTAACAAACGGCTCTGATGTTGTTTTTGTGGCCTTGTTGAGAAGGACGGCCTGTTCTTCACCATCATTGTCACTTTATGTATGTGTTAATTAAAAAAACTTTTTAATCAAAGAAAATAAATCTCAATGTGACGCCGATGACTCTGTGTTTCTTCACTTAACTGTCAGTGGTCTGCATTCATGCAATTGCAGCAGAACGGCAAAATGTCCTGTTAGTTTGACTCGAAGATGTTTTCCCCACACTGCTAGCCTCATATTTACACTATATCAATAGCATAAGTTAGCTATTTTTGTTGAAATACAAATTTCAATTAACACGTTTAACTAGATACAAACAAACAAAGCTAATTTTTAAGACTCTGAATAGACTGAACTGAACATGTTAGCAATAGTGGCTTAGCCAGTGTTGGAAGAAATATTCAAATCTTCTATTCAAGTAAAAGTACTACTTCCATAGTGTAAAATTACTCTGTTACAAGTACAAAAAATCCTGCATTCAAACTGTTAATTAAGTAAAAGGTAATGAGAAAGTATTAGAATCAAAAGTACTCATTTTGCAGAATGACCCATTTCAGAATAATCACTGCTTCACTTTAAGTTGCAGCTTGTAAATGTGGAGCTAATTGTAGTTACTTTGGTGTGGTGGTGATGGGACAGTGGATAAGATGCATGCCTTTGGTGTGAGAGGTCCCGATTCCCCTTTGTGACACATCCACCAATGTGTCCCTGAGCAAGACACTTAACCCCTAGTTGTTCCAGAGGCGTGCGACCTCCGATTTATTTAGCAATCTGAAGCTGCTTTGGATAAAAGTGTCAGCTAAATGAATAAATGTAAATCTGCAAATTTGCTAGTAACAAAAGTTATCAAATACATGTAGCGCACAAAAAATTTGCTTCCAAAAGAAGAGCAGTATAAAGTACCATGAAATGGAAAAGTAAACTACAAGTATGTCAATAATGTACTTATATAGAAGTAAATACCGTGGGTAAATATACTTAGTTACATTGCACCGCTGGGCTTTGAAGCCATTTTGCCAGTAGTTTGTAGACATTTCAGTAATTGTTTTCACAACAGGAGGCTGACGGGAGCGTTGTTTTTTTCTACTGGGCTGCTCACAATATATTCTTTTGTCTACACGCGAGGTAGGTTCTTCCTTACAAGAACGTTTTATCAAACCTTCTAATGCACCAACTTAAAAGCATGTGAGGAGCTTCCTGTTGTCTTTATGTTGAAATTAGTAAACATGTCCTGAGAACTGAGAAGGGAACCATGTTACTTTTGTACCCGGGGGTCGATGCTCAGTGCTTTCTAGAAAATGTAGAAAAATCACAAAACTAAAGAGGAAATAGATAAAACTGGTTCCAGAACAAAAAGGGGGCCCACAGCTCATTTTAGCCCCGGGGCCAATTAGAGGGTTGATCTGGCTGTGAGCCCAGAGCGAACAGAGGGGATGTGGAGCTGATCATGATCTGGATGTCTGACAGAGGAATGAGTCAGCAGCTCTCGCCTGAGTTTTGTAACATCACATTCATGCACTCACAGCGGCGAGGGTCTGGTTTCTATATTCTACTCTCCAAACTAAAGAAGCAGTTTGAACTAAAACTTTAAATGTGTTTGTTTCTACAGTGTTTCCCTGCTTCTTGGCCGACAATGCCATCAGTCTAACTTTAACACTTAGGTAAAACATTTCTTGTTACCTGGTCAGTTTAAACCTGTAAACAAAATAGTTTTATTATTTATTTTTTATCATAAAAAGTCACTGTCTGTCACTTTGGCGCCCTCCAGTGGAAATTTCAAAAATGAGACTATGGCAGAAAACTGCCCATCCTCAACACTTCCTTACTTCAGATTTTGTTTAGTGAAAAAGTACCTAAAGGGTCAAAAACAATTCAAAGGCTGTGGTTGTATATCACCACACTTTGTAAACCTATGAAAAAAATAAATTAACTAAAAAACTACATTTTACACAAAGATGGAGTCCAAACATGTAGAAGTGTTTTATGCACCACGTAAAAAGGAACAAACTCCCAGAAAACTGCAGGTCTGCTGAAACTGCTCTGTAACTTTTAGTATCCTGTATCATCTTTTTATTTTCTATTTAACTCTATTTTCTATTGTATGTTTTATGTAAAGCACTTTTGAATTGCCTTGTCGTTGAAATGTTCTATACAAAGTTACAGGTATGAATTTTGGTGTTGCTTTCACAGCCGAAAGCAACACCAAAGTTCATACCTTCCAATAATGCAACTCGATGGTTAGCACATCTTTCTCCTCTGGATTGTTACTTAAGAATGTTTAGTATAATCAGAAAAATGTCCTTAATGTATTACAAGTATTTAGTATTTAGAGCATTAAAATGCCCGCTGTGGCGGTTATCTGATGATCTTCTCCATTAATCAATTCTTCAGAAAATAGTGAGAAGTGGCGTCACGATAACCCAAAGTGACACCTTCATGATGCTCGTTTTGTCCAACCGACAGGCCAAACCTCAACATTATCAACACATTTAAAGCTACATGAAGTCTTCACATTTGTGAAGCTGGAACCATAAAATGTTTTAGCAATGACTAATAATTTGATCTGTTCTTTTAAAAACTGTTGGGCAGCAACAAAACAATCATACAAGAAAGAATCTGAATTAGGACACTTGGCTGCAGTGTGAACGTGACCCAGCTGTCGCTTGTTTCATCCTGTTACATTAGTTTTTACAATTTCTTAAATGTGATTTTATGTGTGAATTTATGAAATGAAGGAGTACAGTCAAGTGTTACTCAAATACAAGTACCTCAAACTTGATCATAAGTACAATACTTGTGAAAATGTACTACTACGAGTACTCCTTGAGACAAGTAAAATTAGTTAAAGTTATAAGTCTCCTCAGGCTGAATCACACACAGACACGCTGGAGGAGTTACAACTTGTATTTTTATGTATAACAGGGGCATGCTAAGTCACAGCATTCTGGTACGTCGCGACAAAATTACAGCAAGACACATTGAACACTTGAATGTCTTCACACAAACGCAAACATCCTCACTGTCACGCAGCCATTCACACATTTCTTTTTTTTTTTTGTACAGACCAGAATAATTGATATCTTCATATCAGCATTAAAAAAGTACCAACAGAGCACAGACACAACAGACCGAGTTCACCGCCGCGGGCCACGTTCACACTGCACTCAACGTGCAAATCAGATTCAAGTTCGAGTTTGAATGTTCACATTTTGCTTTTTTTTAGAGACGTGAAGCTGCTTTAATTTTTGACTGCTGACGCTCAAAAAGTTTATTTTAATGACTTGACTGTGAGGTTGTAAAAGATGAGCAATACTCCGGATATCACTGATGTAATTTTACTTTAGAGTTGATTTATGTTGTTGCACTGGTGAAGGGTTTTCAGACCAGGTGCTGCTCAGATAAATGAAACGATAATTTACTTGTTGGATTTTGGGAGATTGTCTCAACCGATACTGATCCTGAACTTATCCACTGATACAGAGTACTGAACTGATACCACTGTTCCTTTTGTCACTAATCAAAATTATTTATGACATTAGCTCATCGCTTTAAATGTACAGAGCAAAACAGAAAACAATCTTCTGCTGTGAAAATGCAGTTTTATTGACTTTATGCTGTGACTGAATTTTATAAACAACAGTTTCTAATGTGCCAATATATATCTATTGTAGTCTGCTTCCCTTTTTTATACACTGAATATCTTCGAGTTTGGGACTGTTGGTCAGACAAGCTATTTGAAGACACACTCATTTCTGACAATTTATAGGCCAAATGATTAATCAAATATCGAGAAAGATTAATTGAAAGAAACGGCCAATTAATCAATAATGAAAATAATACTAAGTGGTGGCAGAACTTAACCAAGACGAACACTTATTTATCATTGTGGGGATGATGTGGGTGCTGCAGCCACATTTAAAGAGTCCCCCCCCCCCCAAAAAAACTAAAATAATGAAATTATCTTTGTTTGTCGTCTATGAACATCAAACATAAGGACACAGTGATCAGTTCTGTGGATATGCAACATAAAACCAGCATCAATAATATGGTCACATATGGATCAGATTCATGATTAGGTTTGGAAAAACTGATTAATCAATGTATTCTTTTCTTCCCCCTGTACTGTATCTACATAAAAAAAAATCCACGAATCATACAGCAGAGAAGGGAAACAATCTGAATTAGGTTGCAGTTGCAGTGTGAACGTGACCCAACACAGATGTCGCTTGTTTCATCCTGTAACATTACAGTTTTTAAAGTCTTTATAAAACCATTTACATTTGGGGTGAATGTCTCGAGTACAAAAAAGGCACTGCCATTTGTTATTCTAAATATGACTTTCCCAGCCTTGTGCATGCAGTTTTAAAATATAAATTACACTTTTTTTCCCCCAATGTTCTCCTCTTCTTTTTTTCTTCAATTTTTTTTGTCTTTTTTGTGTTGTTTTTTTTTTTATTATTAAACATACAATATTCTTTTGTCAAATATATACGTAAGCCTGCAGTCAATACAGGACATCGGCTCTTTGATAAAATAAAACTAAATGAAACAAAAGGAGCACAGTCAAGCGGTAACACTTTGTTACAGAATGGATGCTGTTAAAATTTACAAAACAAACAAACAAACAAAAAAAAAGTCTTGGCATCGCAGAATCTATGACAAAAATAAAAGATACAAAACAGCATATATATCTCGACTTAAAGTACATTAAATGTTTTTGGAATATCAAGGCGTTATCTAACTGTTAATACTGCAGTGTGCACAGCGTTAGAAGCGCTCCTGGACACTCACTGAGCTGATATGCATTTAAAAAATAAAGCATTTGGTTTGAAGAGATGTGTAATGATCCAGACCTCAGAGCTGTAACCCTCCTATGTCCGTCACAGGTTCTGTTCACATAGACGTCTGTTTGACCCAGAGATGCTGCAGGAAACCAGGGTTGAGTAGAAACTGGAGGCCTGTGGTGTTGAAGTCAACTCTACACATACAAAACATGCAACTTTACTTTGTTATGTCTCCTAGAAAAATCACATAAACTCGGGTTATTTAAACGCCGTCTGTGAGTGTTTCTATAAAAATGTGGCACAGACGAGCACTTGAAATAAATCTCCTGAACTTTCTATCAACACCTTTTATAATTCAAACATGGCAAAGTGATATGACAGTAAATAAAAATACTGCAAATATACTACAGTTTCAATAATCCCTTCGATTACATTACTGACTGATGTAAAACATTTTGACAAGGATAAATTTGGTGCTCGCTCTACTTTTCTTAATATCAACAAATCCTACGAAGACCCAAACCAACAATCCTAACAAGGTATCCCTCTCCAAGCAACAGAATGTCCAAAATATATTAAAAACAAATCAAGGAGCCACACTGGCTGACATGTTCCTGCATCACCACGAACACACACCAAAGTTTATTTTGACTCAATCCCACATAAGCTGCCCTGCTGCCAAGTACTCACTAGAGCACAACATGTGGATTTATCCGCTGCTGAAAGTAGTCCCCAACAAATGCCTCCTGTCAGTAATGTTTGCTTCAAAAATATAGTGACCAGCTGTTTCAGAAATCACAGAGACTTCTAAAAAAAATATGAAACAAAATATTTCTGACCTGTTTAACACCTGTTCAGTAGAAACCAACAGCCTTAGTGTTGTGACAGACAAGATGGGGAAGTAATGCGAGAAGAACAAACACATTGTTGGTTTTGGTCTTTCCACGGGATCTGTTCACAATAAGGAAAATATAGAATAATGCCGGCCTTATCCTTTAAATGTAACACACCTAGGAACAACCTACAGTATAAGCCTCTCCCACTTATGAGCAAAGAGTTAGGTGGCAATACGTCCACAGCACTAGGGTCAGACTCCAGATCAGAATGGACCAGTCTACTTCCTGGCCTGCCAAAGACTACAACAACAACACACCGCTGTTTTGTTTGCAGACAGCTCGTCCAACGTGAATTTCTGCAACCGAACATGAGTCCATGTCTCTGATGGACCGGCTCCGTCTTCGCTCCGACAGCGAAGCTTCACATGAAAAATCTCAACGCGACACTGATAGATACAAACAAGGTTATAGTTCAACAACAACAACAAAAAAAGAAAAAATAGTCAACGTCAACAATAACTATGTTAATATTTGAGATGTACGTATGGTCACCAGCCATAACATGTTAATACATATGGTACTTTAAATAATAATACACCTAAATGAGTAAAAGTATCACCTCTGCAAAAAGAAATAAAGAAAAAAAAAAAGAATAAATAGTTGTCTCTACTTTAAGTACTGATTCATATGGCAGTGACACTGAAACCATCTGCTTCTCAGTGAGGAGCATCAGAAAAAAAAAAACAACAGTTGTCAAAAGTGTCAGTTTCCCCATTTAGGATTAAAATGGGTTCATGTCACATTCATGCTTTGGTGGAATCTTCATCTTCGTTTACAAACATACTGATGACGTTTGACCGGCTCTTATAGACTCAGAGTATAAGAGCGGGAAACACACAAACGCTCGAAACACTGAGACAAAAACGGTGTGCACGATGTCACGGCTGTAACACACACTTTATCTGCCGAGGGTGTGTGAATGTTTGAGCGTGCACAGATCCAGACTGCAGGTTTGAGCCACCATCACTGGATCTGAAGCCACATTCAACCACTCAAGATGGCGGTTTGGGCTCCAGGCGGGCCTGTCACAGGCAGAATAAGGCATAACAGAATTTCTGCACGTCTTAGCTTTAATACAGGTCACACGCTGAATACATCACTACTGGATATTTTAAAAGTGTACTGTAGTGTTTTAGATTTATACATTATAATTTTTCCAAACTTGTTTTGGAACTGTTTTCCAAATAGTTGTTTCTATTACGCTATGAAACTGAGGTTGCACAGACCTGAAGCTTAAGAAGAAGGTGATTCAAGACTGCAAACGTCATGCCGGCATTTATCAAGAAAATATATTGTGTGATAATTCATTTGTAGGTGCAGATTTTTTAAAAGCATCAAACAAATGGATATTACACAAGTAAACACAGACACAATGATTACTGTGATGGATTGACTTTCTCAGAAGATTATATGGGTTCATTTTACAACCCTTATAAAATTAATAGAAACTTATGTTTGCCTGAAAGGTTTGAAAAACATAAAAATATCTAAAAATAGTTGGTAGTAATGTAATGTGTATTCAAATGGTAGTGACTGGGCTAAGACATGCACTCACTGGTATGGTCCTGTACCTGTGTGGGACGATTCAGCCCTGACTTAAGAAGAGAGCATTTTCAACTCCAACATCAGACAAACAGAAATCATTTAAGGTCAGTGAGAGGCGTCAGGAGCTTCTCGTCTCGGCTGCGGGATTCAACATCGCCACCTGATGTGGTTCCTCCGCTTGACTTTTGTCTGTCTGCTGAGACTGCAGCTCGACAATCGAGAGCAAGTGCCAAGCTCTCTTTAATCTGCTTGATCCGACTCCAAAGCACAAAACTGTTATTGAGCTATGAACATCTGGATTTTAGTGTTATCACATTATCATATCAAGTGCAGGATACAAGAGGAGCACTACATGACTGCAACAAAGTTATGAAGAAACTAAACAGTTATAATCAATAACCCTCAACGTCGACCACTCAAGGTCAGGACTCTCGGCACATGTGCTCAGTTGAAAGCAGCACAGAGGGGAGTTTCCTAACCAGCTTATTTCAATATAAACCTATTCTTATAAAGTCTGTATTCCAGACACAATAAACTGAGGATAAATATTAAGACACAGAATAACCATGAGATTCAGAATTAAAAAGAATAAAAATAAATTCCACGTAGGCCTGCACTGACAGAACCGACAGAAGACCATGTTACATGGGCAATCTGATATTTCCCCGAATGTTACTCATAGCAGATTTTTCAATGATCTGCAGAGTGCCTGTGTGTCCATGGACTTCAGCATCTGTTCCCGCCATGACAGTGTTTGGCCTGCAGGTGGAGCTAAGCACTAATGAGACAATCTCTGGGAAAACCCTTCATGGATTGACAGCGTGCGATTTCTCCAATGCTGAAATCCTCTCAACAACGTGGTCAGATTGGAAACCAAATCAACCTCCTGCTTTTTTTTCTGCCATCTTCTCCGCTCCACATTTCACAATCTTCCTTTCCTCCAAGAAAGATATTTAGTCGTGACATGCAGCTTAAGCATATCACCCTGCTTTAGAATAACAACTAAACCCAGTATCTGAACATGCAGACATATCCCACTGATGAAACAGCCGTATTAATCTCCCATTTACGTGTATAAAAACCTACATTTTCAATGTATTATGCCAGCAAAGGCTCTGAATTCAAAGAGTTTATACAGTACATGTTATGGATAAACAATATTGAACTGACAGGTGCCAAATTCACTTCTTCCTACGCTGTCGAGGACAGACTCACGATATGGTTAGACATGACATCATCTTCCTCCCTCATCTTCAGCCGATCAAAGGTCCTGCCTCTGATGTCTTCCTCCTTTAAACATCCGCTTCCCTTTCCAGTGTCACTTCAGCTTGATTCTTTCTTCCACTACTTTCTGTGTCTTTCTCCGCATCACCTTCTTCCTCTCTCTTTACACGTCTGCTCTACCTCCTCCTCTCGCGCTCTCCTCTCTCGGTAAAAGCCAACACGTCTTTTGTTGTTGACTGCTGAAATAAAGAATAAGCACGTTGGTTGTAAACTAGCGTGATGGCTACTCATGGGACGTAAAGCTGGTAGACAGCCAGCCATGGTTTTACAGAGTACTACACGATTCATACCTGAAATTTATACATGTATCTGTACCCTTTGAAAGTAGCATCATTATGTAAACAATAAATACATACAATACAAACAAAAGATTTTTTTGCCACCCAATATTGAGCAAGAGGCCTTCCCAAGCTGGACACTCAGGCCTCACTGAAAACAGGAAGGAAATCCGAAAATTCCTTCTGCATCCTTCTTGCTCTGCTTGTCTTGTTTTTGGGTCTGAGGTACTGCTATGGATTTGAAAGATGCCACGAGCTGTGGTCGATGTGCGGGGACCAGAGGGTGTCGGAGAGGGAAAGGGCCTCAGTCTCACTGGGCCCTGATCCACAGGCCAGCGTCTCCCTTCTGCTGGGACTCACTGGACTGCAGTACTGCTTCTGGCCTCCCCTGGGGGGGGCGCTGTTCACACACTGTCCAGGATGTGTTGAAAGCTTTTATCTCTCCTCACCCAGATGCAGGTGACTGTGAGCATGCTGGCGGAGCAGGAAGTGTGTTTTTCCGACCCGATGGACGGTGCCAATGAGATAGCTTGTGTTAGCCGTTTGACGATCGGCTCTCTTTGTTTCTTGGATCCCGCCCGATCCTTTGGTTGAGCTCTACCATTGGCTACAGGGAGAGGGGACAGGAGGGCTGGTGACCTCGAGGTGACTTATCGTGAGAGAGCCTCGTGAGCCTGCGCTGCCCTATTGCTCTCACTCAGGTCCTCATTTCATATTGTTGATGTGCGGTCAGCACCGTCTAAAGAGGAACAGCAGAGAGAAGAAAAGGCATTAGTGTTTAACTCAGTCAAAACATCATTAGCATCCACAGGCAGAAAATGCCAGCCGCTGTTCTGCAAACGCCTAGCTGGGAGTGCTAGGGTGCGCTTTGGAGTCGCATTTTTTTTTTCCGAGATGCTGTGGTTGCTATGATACATCATTTCCGTGGAGGTGATTTTGTCCTGGCCCTGTGATGAGTGCAGCGTTTTTCTGAAAGCTGAACATTTTTCAACTCTCGCTGACCAGAAATAAACGCTCAGCTCACCTCGTTACGCTGCTGCCGTTTTTCCCATCAAAACGTGGCGCTCCCATTGCAATTAACTGAAAAAAGACGCTGGCCTCAGGATAAAACGATTCGGTGGACACAGGCCCTTAGGGGCAGTGTTATAATGTGGATGTAGAATGAGTCCTGATGAAGATAAAACAGTGAACAGGGAGAAGGCCTTTGCTGGGACAGGTTCCAGCTTTCTTGTGTCCCTGAATAAGTATAAGCTTCTACAGAGAAGGATTTCTGATCCAGTCAGAGACCAACTTATAGGACCAATTTGCTTGTTCCATGTGAGCCAAATTGACGCTTCTGATTAGCCTGAGCTGTAAAGGCAGCATTTAGCTTGTGCTCTCTGTCGTTGGAATAGATTCCCTGATAATCTCCCAAACTTGCAGTAAGGTTAAAACATGTAATTCTGCTGTCTACTATTCTTGCACCCCTTCATGATGCTAGTCTACATTCTTCCCAGTCATGTAGTATCAGTATTAGCACTGCATGAATACAATTTCATCTGAAGTGTAGTGCCATGAACTGTTTTTAAAGAAGGCCTGAAGCTTTTCTGGCTTGGTTAACAGTGTGGGGCCTTGACATGGTGAGAGAACAACACATCTGTCAAAATACTGATAGAGAAAAACAACAGTCTGAGAGCTGTTGCCACTGGTGTGGCTGAAGAGGAAAATGTTATCATGCTATGCAGTGGTGAACATTTGTATTCCACAAAGATAAAGCCTCCATCGTGATAAAAAAAAAAAAGGCCTGAAAGTGCAGGTTTGTCACTGTGAACTGAATAACGCAGCAATGCACTGAATATACTATATACCACAAGAGTCAAGTGTGAACAGAGCGACTAAAGCTACGCAAGTAAATGTTTAGAGTAGCTGAATGTGTTTAAATTTGTTGCTGAACCTGATCTGAGTATTTTTTATTTTACACGTACATTCATTCACCTAAAAGTCTTCTGCCAAAGAAAAAAAGAACCTGTTCTTTTTGTGCAATTCGATGTGTTGATTTCCAGGCACCTTTGTCAAAAGTGATTAATTCACATTTGGCCTCAACTTGAATTTCAATCTAATATACTTACTGTGTAACTGGTGGGATTGTTTGATTTTTCATATTGTTGTAGTTAGTCATAAGAATGTACTCATCTGACCTTTAATAATACTCCGATACATAAACTCAGGATATTTGCCAATACCAAGTTCTGATCAGATACCAGTGCTTTTTTTCCACAGATCTGAAATCTGTATCTTTGAGGCCTTGAGGGCAGGGATTGGTTGGACTAGAAACACTGTGTTTAATAATGACATTGATGAAGCAAGGTCAATACTGATACTGATCCAGTGGATGGACCCACTGTTAGTTGTACGTCAAATTACAAGTGAGCCAGGGCTTTACAATTAAAGTCACATGGAATCAGAAGTAGTCTGCTTCTTGAGTTTTCATCTGGTTCCAGTCCTTATCTCGATGGACTTGTCTGAACTCCTAAATTTCTCAGTATAATTTGCTGTGGAATCTAGGAATATACATTATGTCAAAACAGAGCATCTGAATATGAGCATCAATCCAAAGGCAGTTTGCTTGGAGTTCATTTTGTCACACCAGACTTTCCAAAAATGACCAACTGCAGACTAAATGTCAACATCCTTTTTCTTATTCTCATGAAAATTGTGTTTTAAATAATTTCCTGTAGCTGGTTCCAAGTTATGCTTCTGAAGCTCAACACAGACAGCTGGATGTTTGGACTGTGAGACAAGAAGGAGGCAAAACTCTGATTAAGAGGGAGTTTCTTCAGTAAAACCCACTCCTTCGTTTTGCTTTCCACCTAACACACAACCCCCCCCCACCACACACACACACACACACACACACACACACACACAAAGCAGCACTTGTCTACCGTTCTGTGCTGAGCACTGAGGTCCACTGTCTTCGCCTCAGTTGAGTTTTGGGGGAGCTGGCACTGACTTTAACCAAGACTATAATTCACTGTACATGGGAATATTCTGCTTAGGTCACAGACTGACTTGACTCAGGCCATGTCCATTACAGTATAATACTGACACATATAAAAGTGTTTTTTAAAAAAAAAAATGTGTTTAAGGTTTTCTATTCACGCCAGCATTTGCAACTCATTTTCATTCACTTTGCCATCCATACCAAATACTAAAACAACATAAAATTTTTGTCAACTGCTCCAACAGTTCAAATAATGTTCACTTTACTGTTTGTATCATATAGAAATGTAGGTAATTTCTGAAATGTTTTTGGTAAAATCAACTTTTCTCCTCTTTTTCTTCCCATTTTATTTCCCTTTCTAAGGTGAACTCTCCTTGGCTTTTGTTAGAATCGCCGTCTGATTTTAAACTTTTAAAGTTTTTGACCACTTGGCATGACCGGACCAACCAATTATAACACATCAGAAAAACACCTTTGTCACCCCAACATGTCTAGATCTAGTCTACCAGACCGAATCAGAACACAAATTTATGTACCTCATTTCGGTGCCACTTAAATGTGTCAATTGAACTATTGTTCTTCACCATCTCTGTCCCGTGGCTAACACACACACTCTCTCCCCCAGAAACAACACCCACCCCCCTTAACTCTCTGCCAATCACAGGTAGGAAAATAAATGACCGACAGGCATATCACACATTCACTAGCCTCCTGGAAACACTGGAGAAAATAGCCCTTTCCGTCTTAGCTGAATACAACAGTTATAACACATTAAAAGTTTAAAGCTGGTTTGTACACTTTAAACAGTTAATATGTATGTATATGTACAAATGTATTAAAAAAACTCTCTTTAATGTCATTTTTTTGTGTGCATTTTTTAAAAGTAGTGTTCCAGGCACAGGTACCGTTTTAAAACTATTGATTTGGCACCGGAATTGTAAAAAACCCAGATGATACCCAACCCTAATGATAATTTAAGATAACTGTATCTTATGTATTATGGTTTAAATAATGACGATCAATCAAAAACTGTGCGTTACCTCCCAAGGCGTGTTCTGTCATACTCAGGCAAAGAGACTCAAGGCGATTGTTGATGTCTGGCTCCGTCACTGGCAACTGAAGATCTGTACAGCAAGAAAAACAAATTTGAAGGAGTATCACTATCAGTTTTTAAATTAAATTCATATTAAACATGATGGTTACAGCTGGTTCAGCAAGTGAATAAAACCTAATGCTATTTAATCCACTTCATAAAATTACTTATTATTTTCTCCTGTCGATCCTCTCCATGGCAGAAATTATGTACAATATCAGTGATCCTCAATCAGTGTTGAGAAGCTGAATTATATTTTAATGACTTCACACACTCTTAATTAGAGGCCTTTGATCATAGTGAAACAGAATCATGATAATGCTTAAACCTTTACCCCCCCACCTTTTTAAATAAATTGGAGTCAGATAAGTTGGCAAAGGACAAAAAATGAATTCAGATCAGCCTCCACTGGAACAATGTCGTCCATTCAACCAGAGTGGAGCCTCAATAATCAGATTATACCACACCGTTAACTCCAGCACTGAGACACATGCTACATCAATACAATTACTGCTCTGCTCCAACAGGGGCATGGTGTCTTTTGTCACTTTGATTGTAAGGTCTGAGTGGAGGAGTTGCGACTGGATTTACATTCACCAATTCAAAATAAGATGTAATGCAATCAATGTTCAATATGAAATATGACAACTACTCTAATTCTCAGATCTGTCTTTTGAATATTTAAATATTCTATGATTAATAAAAAGACACCAGATCAGAAGCCAAGATAATCTGGTGAAGCTACAGAATAGTGCTATGCCAGTCTAACCTTATCCCGTACACAGGAGAGCCAATATAATGAATTACTCTTCCCTAACCAAAACTAAACACATGGTAGCCCTCTTATGCATATATTAATAAGATTATAGTAAACTCTTTAAAGGTTCAGTGTGTAAGTTTAAGTGGCATCTAGGGTTTGAGGGTTGCAATTGCAAACAGTGGCTCATGGTGCATTTACGTGCTCCTTGGATGGTCCCATGTCCGAAGTTATGAAGTCATTCTTCAGACTTTGGTGTGTTCATGTGCTCTTAAGTCTGAATGTGGAATCAACAAGGACTCTGCTACAAAGATGTGTTGGATTAGCATGATCTGAGCATATAAACAACACTCAGACATCTAGTTCACTCTACATGGACAGCAAACTAACCGTTATAAAATATGTATATGCAAATGTAATTTTGCACAAATCAAAGTTCTATATATTTCTTTCTAGACATTATTTCTCTTTTTGCCCACCTGGGGCTGGACGATATGGGGCAATCATGTTGTCATGATAAAAACATTTCATATCATTCGATAATAATTATCACGATATATGTCAAATCATTACTTCTTTCAAGTTTTTGCTCCTGAGTGAAAACCAGATGCTAATTATGTTGTTAAACTTTTCTGTATGGTCAGAATATGACACTTGATGCCAAACAGTGGATCATTTCGTAAGTTTAAATTTAAAACTATATCAACAAATATGATTGGTTAATCTTTTTTCAGGCCTCTTTTTTCAACGAAATAAAAATTTTAAAAAGAAAAATTAGGTGCTACTTTGATTGTGATTCAAATGAAATGATTATATTGTTGTTGAGGAAAATTATATAGCGATTATTATTATTATTGTTTTATTGCCCAGCCCTAAGCTCACCCCTCTCTTTCCAAGCACGCAGGACAAGCCATGGTCAACTACTACTACTACCGCCATTTTGGCTACTGTAGAAACATGGCGGCACAACATGGCAACATCCACGTAAGAGGACTAAGAGGCAATGTAGATAGAAATGGCTATGGTAATAAGAATATAACAGTTTATTATGTAAGGTCTTTATACACCACTGAAAACATAATTAAGTCTATTACATAGCATTTCTGTCAATAGATCCTGCTAATTATTACTAGAGCCCGACCGATATGGGTTTTTGGGGGGCGATGCAGATATTAAAGTGAAAAAGAGCCGATTTATGAGCCGGTATTTTGATTTTAAGAATGATTTGGATAATAGACCCCTTTACTGTATAAACTACACTCAGAACAGGCCGATATTGAAAGCTTGTATGTATGTGGGCTATAAAACGTTTTCCTAAATGTATTATGTTAATAAAATCGATTACAGTCTCAAAAAGTGAACATGTAAACAATTGCACATCAATAAATATTTACAACTGGAAGGTGCAACTTTTTCAGTCGTCTGTAAACAGAGAGAATGAGAGCGAATAAGCATGTGTATTTCACTTTACACATAATCTGCCATAATTTCAATGTACCATATTCACATCCAGTTCATCCCTTTACCAGCACTCAAGCTACGAGAAACCATTTAACCACCATCAGTATAAATCATGCTGTCTATGATACACTGAGCTGCTGTTGAATGCATCTAATACTACAGGCTCTGACTACAGAGTTTCACATCTACAACATCACAAAAGGAGGAGCTACATGAAGCCGTGTTAGATTCTTTTTCAGCTCACGTCTATTTACATGTCCGCTCTGGTTTAATCATTTCAGACACGCCGACTAACTGCAGACAGGCAGCTCGCAGATATATTAAGAATACGTCAGAAACTATCCTCCACTGATAAACACGGTATTAACTTTGTGGCTAATTTAGCAATCGGCAGCGTTAGCTGCTGTAACGTTACGTGATTTTAGAGAATATTTAGAAGTGATGAACTAGGGACAAATGCGGACCGTTCGCCAGAACTGTCATACATTTTCAGAATAAATCTACGGTTACGTTTGTCCAGCAGCGTAGCTTTTAACACCCAACTACCGTAACATTAAACTGCTGTGAATTGGTAGGAAGCCGTGAGATGGCAGTGAAAAACGGGAGGATTAGCAAGTCATGACTGTTTTCAGGAGAGGAGAACAGACTGGGTCTGTTTTTATTATAATTATTAAAGTCATGTAATTAACTTGACAAAAGACCAAGGCCCAATCCCAATGTCCCCCCTAAACCCTGAGCCCTGAACCCTCACAGACTTTACTGACGTCACTTGGAAAGTGATCGAGCGCAAGAGGCTGCGAGGGCTCAAAATGCTGTAGACGGGAACGGGACAGCACTTTGCCACTTTATCACGTTACCATGACGCAGAAACACGTTGCACACTTTTTATTTTTGCCTTATTTTTAAGTCCTGCAGGCTCTCTCCCTACAGAGTGGAGGAGAGGTAGCCTAAATGTCAATATATATTTGTAATTAATCAATACACTAGTGCTGGTCAAATAGCATCATTAAGCAAAAACTAAAATAAATAGTTGAATAAACTAAGTGTGTAATAAGGTGATTGCATTCCTCTGACTTCATGTGTTCTACGCACCATCTTAAGTTAAGAACACTTTCAACAATATTAACATCAGCGTAGGTGTCGATTCTTGTTTGTTTACTGTTTTCTTCTTCTCTTATAACGCGGATTTGCCGTGACACTTCTCTCGCTTATGGGCTTCCCCTGGTAATCCCCGTGTTTCATGTCATACCGCTATGAATTGTGGGCAATTCCCTCAGTCAAAGTCTGCAGAAATGCGGACTTAGGATCTGACTCTAGCTTTCTTTTTTTAATAGTCATATATCTGCTGTTAGAAACGTCCGATGCCGCTTGAATGCAAATAGCTCATATCGCCCGATCGGTCGGGCTCTAATTATTACACCCTGAACTTCTAAGTCTGAGGTGCTAGTTGCTGTTTGCTGTCTTGACCTCAGCTGTGAGCAGGGTGGAGACTGTTTTGAAGAGGGTTGGGTTGAGGTTGGATGGGGGGAGTATGTGTGTGTTTGCAGGAGTGTATTTGAGCCGCAGTACAGCCTAGCAACCCCTTCTCGCCATTTAGTCCTTCGCTGAGTCTTTAACACAGGCCGGGCAGTGAAAATCCCTTGTGGCCAGGGAGAAAAGCTGAGTTAGGTCCAGTAGTCCACACTGGGCTATTTATAGGCTCTAAATCCCCCCAACACGCCCCCGCTCCACACACCCCTCCTTCCACTGTACACACAGACTTACAAACACACACACACTGAAGATACTGCACACATAGACACACTCTTCTTCCTATGCTGTGTCTCACTTAATACGTTTCTTTATCCATTTGTTGGCAGAGAGAAAGACAGATCGCACATACATACACAGAGACAGAGGAGGCTGGGGGGTTGGGGGTGGTCTAGCCTTTCAAATCAGTTACTCTGGCCGAGACCCAGCTATAGCCACCCTTGAGGGTCACTGCTATGTGTGCATGACTCTGCACAGTTGTCAAAGAAGGAGAGATAGAGGGATGGGGAGGCGAGATGGAGGGGGAGAGATGGTTAAGTTAAGAAGGAGAGTGAGTCAGGGAGAGAAGGAAAGGGAGGGAAAGTGGGCCAGGGAGCCCTGTCCTTGCTGCACAAAGAGCCTCATTGTGAGACTGACTCTTTCCTCCCTCCCTGCCTCTATCTCTTCCTCTCTCACATACAGTCTCCACACTCCCTCCAGCTCCTCCCCTCCAGCCTTTCTAAATCTGTTTTTCCTCTTCATTCTAAAAAGAGGACATTTCTGGTGTGTGTGTGACGCAGAGTGGAGGAAGCCCCAGCTTGTCCTATTACTGTCCACTGTTCCTGTGGGACAAAGTCCAGTCAGCAGAGGCTACTAAAGGTCACTCTGACTGGCGCCAATGGTTACCATGACCCGAGTCTGTGTGGACACTGTGAGTGGAGTGACGTCACAGTAGCTCAAATCAGAAAATATTCTTTTGATAGAAAATATTTTTTTTGTTGAGTTGTCAATTAATCTTGCAACTACACCAATATTGTCGATTCTTATGAGCCAATGCCTGGACAGTTATTTCTAGTGGTTTCTTTTGGAAACAATACATATACTAATACACTCAGGTCTGAATTACAAAAAGGAGAGAATTAAACCACAGGACATGAACAATCACTTTTTGTTGTTACAGCAAATGTCTGTACAGACAAAATTAAATTAAATACATGCAAATACAACAAGATGAAGAACTTGTTACAGCAGCATTATCATGATGACAGTAAGACACTATATACTACATATTACTGCCTTTAAAAAAGGAATAAAGTGTGTAAGAAAAAAAAACTCCATCACTGCACAATTTGGCAGTGCGTGCTATGAAGAGGTTATAACTTGCAAATATTTGCCGCAGTAAATAAGACACATGCCTTTGGTGTGGGAGATCTGGCTTCGATCCCCACTGTGACACATCCACCCATTGGTGGATGTGTCACAGTGTCCCTGAGCAAGACAATTTACCCCTAGCTGCTCCAGAAGCGTGTGACCTTTAACATATATAGCAACTGTAAGTCGCTTTGGATAAAAACATCAGCTTAATGAGTAAATGTAATACATAAGTTTATAAAGTAAAGGTACTTTATTGTCACATAGTATAGGTATATAAACTTGTAAAGGTGGAAACAACCAGTTTCATGCCAACATCAAGCCCGTCTTGTATGAGTTTCCCAGCGTTTCTTACCGGTTTGTTGGAACATGACCATGGTTTGTGGCGTGGTGTGAACGGGCAGGGAGCGGGTCCTCTGCACTGAGCTGTGTGTCCGGCTGGGCATGCTGTTGCTTCCTCCGGGGTTGGCAAACCACAGACCCTGAGGAGAACATTTTAACATCAAATTAACTTTGTGAACATGCAAACACCTCTGTAGGACTAGTGTCATAGTTACGGTTAAAAAACAGTGGCAGAAATCGAAACCATCATCTACTCACAAGACACAACATTTCTGCTACAGCTCTCAAAATACAGTAACTAAACTCAATTTAACATGTTAAATGTTCCTTGTGGTAAAAAGAAAGTAAAACGATATAGTTTAGAGTTCAGAGTATATACTGTGTTTAGACATAATCTATTCTTATTCAACTTCTTTATTCTTATTCAGCTAACAACACTAATCCACCAGGATGCCTCAACTGACACCTTAATGACCTGTAGATAACCTGGTTAAGATTAAATACTGACATTTAAAGGGAAAAGTCATGTTATTATAACATAATTTGTTGCATAAATTTCCAGCTCAAACATCCCACTCATCACTGCTTTTCACACATGACCACAACTTTCACTGATCCAAGGGGTTTCTGAAATGTGTAAGGTTGAAAGAAGTTAGACCACTGCTTCTTTAACATTTTCAACCCCCACGCTCCTGTCTGGATGTCTGGCCCACACCTAATGACAGTCTCAGACGCTCACCACATGAATTCCTCACTGTAACCTGCCTATTATACCCCCAACACCATCACCACATGCCCCTCCCCCCCTCCTTCTCGCGGCCCTCCAGTGCCACGGGCCAGGGAAAAACAGGAAATGCCTGTGCACTGTTCTCACTGCCTCTGACTGGTTCTCTCACTCTCATATAAACTTCCCCCTCTCTCTCTCAATGCCCCTCCTCCTCCAACACCACAGCTACCTCTCCCAAACTATGACTCACATATTTCCCTCCTACCCTCCTTCTCTCTCTCTCTCTCTCTCTACACATCCACACTACAGTCCCACACAAGAAGGTCCAGCATGAGGAGGAGGAATTGAGGTATTTCCTCCCATTGTAAGGGAGAGAGAGAGAGAGGGAGAGAGGTTCCCAATGAACTGGGTCAGCCCAGACCACCAAGTGTGCCAGGATGGGCCTGAAACAGCTCCACAGCTCCTCCTGTTTCAGTGTTCGGCACTGACGCAGGGCCTCTGGTATGTGGGGTGACCTGCCTACGAGTTCCATCCACATCACTTCATTCGCCAAACACCACCGCTGCTCCTCTTCCTCACCCCGCATATTTTTGTCATGGAATAAAAAGCCTATTTCAGGAAGAATACGTGCTAAAGAAGGAATCTGCTGCCCAGGTTATTGTAAACATCCTGGAATGTATGATGACACATTTAAAAATGTTCCTTTGTACAGTCACGAACACATCTGCTATTCAGCATTTTAGTAACACCCCACACACGAACAAACGATAATACCCTGAATTTAGCTCTATTTCTTCTGTATTAGGAAACTTTAATTCACAGGAATTTTTTCAAACTATCTTAACTACTCATCCTCATCTGATGCCAGATGAAGTAATAACACACTAAATATAAAAATGACTGCGCATGTAAACCAAGTTTGTTGAAAATGTCCCCAAGATGACATCTCAGCGCAGAGGTTAACCAAACTATCCATATTTAAACATTTTAGGGCTGACCATTAATTGATTAGTTATTTATTTATCAAACACAAATGCCAAACATTTGCTGGCTGAAATTATTTGTTGGAATTTGATCTGTTGTCTGGCGGAAAATACAATTTTAATATCTCACCTTTAGCTCTGGGAAATTGTCATGGGCTACTGTTTTCTAACAGTTTATAATGTAAACAATGAATCCAGTATATAATCTATGAATGAAGATAATCATTAGTTGTAGCCCTAAAATGCCCTGACATACGCTCTAAATAGTCTCTGGAAACTTAAAGGCTGATCATACCTTCAAACCTAAGCTGACAGCCTTGCTGGTTTATCTCTGATGTCTCTCCTTGTTGTCTACTCTCTAATTGGACTCTCTCTTCTCCCTAATGGTTTATGCTCATCTCCCCTTGCTTGTTTAAATGTGGTTTGACTTACCTGTCTCCCCTGTTTGGGACCGGTGGGTGTGCTGCTGGAGCTACGAGGTGTAGGTCCCAGCAGGCCCCCGCTGCCCAGCAGGCCCAGCCTGGCACCCGGTAAGCTCCTGGAGGGCATTTGGAACTGGCGAAGGCTCCTCCTGGCCGACACGCTGCCCCCAACACAGCTAGTGGTGGGGAGAGAGTTGGACTGGCCAAAACGGCTGGAACAGGATGAGAGAAAAAGTAAGATACAGGCAAGCACTGTTTGAGTTCCTGAAGTGTTGGAACTGTGTTAACAAAGGAGCAGCTGGGCATTCCCTAAAGTTTGCAAATAATGAGCTGAACCGTAAAGCTAACAAGGAGCAAGATAATTTCAATCAATTCTCTAATCTGAATGTAAAAAAAGGCAATAAAAGACATTATAATGCAGATGTTTGAACCAAGTTGACATTATAATGATAATTTAAAAATAATTCTAGCAGTGGTGATAATTTAATCTCTGCAAAGACTCACCACTGCTAATAAATCCTTATCTAACTCACATCTCTGTCAACAATTATGTTTCTTTAACTGTCAAAAAAAGGAAAAAATGAGGAGAATCAGTAAACTTCATGAAAAGTGTCATATGTTCTACATTTAGCATTATCATTTTTTGTGTGTGTATGTAAAATATATCTGTACCAATTCTAATTGTTTACAGAAAGTCTTTTCCTACAACCTCAATTTTTCTGGTTATTTTATCAAGCTTAATATTACTTTAATTTAAAGGGTTTTCATCACAGACAATAAACAGATACTGTACGTGTGTGTTTACCTCCTCTGCGGTCGGTACCCTGCTATGTCAAGGAGGGTTTTCCTTGGAATGGACCGGAACAGCCTCTGGACCTGTTGTTTCCATGACAACAGCCTCTTCTTCTGTGTCTCAGTGAAGGACTGACATGGGGGGAAAAGAGAACATATCGGGGATGAAATGAAGCATGACTGCTGACGAGTATGGCTCAGAATATTCAGGTGCATTGTGTCGCATCAAATGACTACTTCACCCAAAACCTTCCTTCACATGGGAGTAAATCTAAAGCATGACACCGCACTTTGCACATTTGTACTAAAATACGGAAACTGAGTTTCAGAGAAGCAAAATGGTGTGGATGAGAGCATTCTTCTTTAATAATGCTGCAAATGAGTAGTGCATTATTACTTTATGAAGTTTGCCCTGAAAGCTCTTATCCACCCATCCATCCATCATGCGTCAACAGCTTATCCTGTGTACAGGGTCGCAGGGGGCTGGAGCCAATCCCAGTTTACATCGGGCGAAAGGCGGGGTACAACCTGGAGAGGTCGCCAGTTCAAAAGCTCTTATATGATTTATATTTTTCATTCAAACTTCTCTGCATTAATTGACCAATGTTCTGGTCATAGTCATTCTTTATATACTGTGTAAGTGTATATTAATATACAATTCAGGAAAAAATTAAAAAGGGATGAATTAAGTGCTTTTCAAACTTACAACATTAAAGAACGGTATTTTGATAATATGCTATATATTGGTAGACTTCTTGGTTATTGGAAATTTAAATTCTCAATGACTGATAGTAATGCTAAACATCCTGTTTTGTCTGTTCCTAGTATGTAGTATGTATATGTGGGTTTTTTTATAGTCTGGAATACTTAAGTGTGTTCCAGAGGGAGTGGGTACCTCATGGATAAGGCACTTGTCGATGAGTTGTAGGTAGGAGCTAATGTTGTCCTCATCTGACCTCGACACCAGTAGCTGGGTGCAAACTGAAGAGGCGGCAGAGATGGAAAACAACACATTAAAACAAAAATGTCTCTTGGCCATGAAAACAATCTCAACAAAGCGCTGGTGCATGCACCTCACCTTTGCCCATGACACGCGTAAACTGGCCGGGTAGATCCCCCTCGGCGATGATACTTGTGCCCGACTCAGCCTCCCCACCGCCACCGCCACTCAGGTGGGAGCCAGGCGCAGCACTCTTGCCCTCAGGGCTCAGCAGGGGGCGCTGCAGGGAGCCATCCTCACCACCATTGAAAGCCTTGATAGGCGTCATGATCATCTGGTGGAGTTCCTGCAGCGGGGCACGCAGATTACTGCCCTCCAACACATCCTGGTGGTGGTAAGTGATAGAAGGAAAGATATGGAGAGTAAGGTGGGAGCAGATCAGAAAGATTTGAAAGAATGAAAAGGTTTTACTTGACAGAACCTATGACGACATCTTGACATCAATCAAAGTGACAGATCTGGTGTAGCATTTACAATTAAGATGTCAAACATAAGAGAGCAGTTAAAGGGTTAATTGTGTGGACCCAAATGTTTAACATAATTACACATAATCATCATCATAAAAATCTGTTACCTTTGACCTACATGCTGAATATTAAGAAGGAGACAGACAAACGGAAGGGGAGGATCCCTAACCACACTGCCACGTGTTAGAGCAGAGAATAAACTAATACCAAAAATACATACATGCAGTTTTCCTTCACTCCTTGTGTCCACGTGCATCATATCAGCCTCCCTCCCACCCTTTACAGAGCAGCGCTGTACATGAGTCTGTATAAACCCAAAATACCAAGCAACAGGTGTCTTGTTTCCCCAGCCCTACCAATGATAGGGCAGCGGGAACACATTTTAAAATGAAGCATTGGTGAAAAGGTTAAGTCTGAATTTAGCTGGCTCAAGATGTCCCTCCTGTGGTGTGCCCTTGAGCGCCATTGTCTTGCTCTGAAGGCTGAATGGAGGGGTGAGGGGTTGGGGAGGCGGATGGGTTTAAATTCGGAGCCCAAAATGCTCCTTCCTAGATTAGGTGTTCCCTTAGCTGCCATCTCAGACACATAACACCGACTGAGAATGGCCACCCTTCTCACTCTCTCATAAACACACAGGAAAAGAGAGGCGGTGTCCTGTGGTGTGCACTAAGGTTACAAGCTAAATCACCAATAACAAAAAGCTAGGACTAAAAGCTTTGTGAGAATGTTTATTTGTGTGAAGATGAAGAGGAGATGGAGATGTGGTATACTGACCTTTTCCAGGCTGCGAAGTAGGTGCTGCCTCTCCTTCAGCTTCAGAATGCTGATAACAATCTTGTGTCTTGCTCCTTTAGTGACCTTCTGTTGGAGGAACGAGTTTTGTGTCAAAGATTGCTTTGCTCATTGGCAAAATACTGGTCTAACAGACTGATAGCTATTCTTTGTGTAACAGCAGGAGACACAGCCAGTGAAGCTAGGAGAGAAACACTTTATCTGCACATCTTTGGTTGGGATGACAGAGACGGTGAAAATTGATTCCAGTAAATGAATTTTAGTTGAGGCTAATACAACTTCTCACATGTCCATTGAAGAACTGAAACAGACAATCCAGATATTTCCAGATCACGCCAATAGCAGTTTATTGAATCCATTGTCACACAGGACAGGTCTTTGTCCTTTTGTTGAAGTTCAGCATATCTCAGCATAGCTGTGCATTATGTTAGGGTCAGACAGAGAAAAAGTTAGCAGCACCTGGAGGAAGTATACAGCTTCCCGGTGAGCTGTGTTAATTTTAGCTGCATCCTCCATTTCAGAATAGACTCAACATCTTTAAGTACTAGCATAGCAACTTGACTTGACCTGGCCAAAGCCATTTACATATTCAAAGCTAAGATTGATTAAACAAATACGTATCATACTAAAAAAATTATTTTTATTAAATACTAGTACATAATATGTTTCTGATCTTATTTAGCTCCTGTCCCTCATGTACTTCAACTGTTGTAATTTGACGCATTAGTGTAGCCTTGCATACAAATGTAAATTTCTGAATTGTTGCATTAGTCTAAGGTTTATATGTGTTTGACAATGTTGACTCTTGTTGACAATGTTGAAACTTGAATCCGTTTAGTCACTTTTCACAATTTACATCTGTGGATAGAATATGAATTATACTGTAAACTACTTTTTCTATGTAAAGTTGTCATTCTTTTTCCAAATGAAATCTAATCTCTATGCGTGTGTGTACATACCTGTGCCTCCAATTGCTGTTCAGTCAGTGACAACATCTCATCGTAGGTCATTGTGGAGAAGAGAGCGGCATACTTATGGAGACGGAGACTCTTCAGCCACGCAGGAACATCTGTGGGGCACAAACATACCAAGGTTAGATTTCTGTGTAGCTACATTTATCAGTCATAGAATTTAAAAATAATATTAAAAATGTAATTAGTCAGCAAAACTTCTTACAATATCACTGCTGTAAATATACACTGCTCAAAAAAATAAAGGGAACACTAAAAACAACACAATGTAACTCCGAGTCAATCAGACTCCTGTGAAATCAAACTGTCCACTTAGGAAGCAACACTGATTGACAATCAATTTCACATGCTGTTGTGCAAATGGAATAGACAACAGGTGGAAATTATAGGCAATTAGCAAGACACCCCCAATAAAGGAGTGGTTCTGCAGGGTGTGACCACAGACCGCTTCTCAGTTCCTATACTTCCTGGCTGATGTTTTGGTCACTTTTGAATGCTGGCGGTGCTTTCACTCTAGTGGTAGCATGAGACGGAGTCTACAACCCACACAAGAGCATGGAGGCGCTACCAGGAGACGGGCCAGTGCATCAGGAGACGTGGAGGAGGCCGTAGGAGGGCAACAACCCAGCAGCAGGACCGCTACCTCCGCCTTTGTGCGAGGAGGAGCAGGAGGAGCACTGCCAGAGCCCTGCAAAATGACCTCCAGCAGGCCACAAATGTGCATGTGTCTGCTCAAACGGTCAGAAACAGACTCCATGAGGGTGGTACGAGGGCCCGACGTCCACAGGTGGGGGTTGTGCTTACAGCCCAACACCGTGCAGGACGTTTGGCATTTGCCAGAGAAGACCAAGATTGGCAAATTCGCCACTGGCGCCCTGTGCTCTTCACAGATGAAAGCAGGTTCACACTGAGCACATGTGACAGACGTGACAGAGTCTAGAGACGCTGTGGAGAACGTTCTGCTGCCTGCAACATCCTCCAGCATGACCGGTTTGGCGGTGGGTCAGTAATGGTGTGGGGTGGCATTTCTCCACTCCACGTGCTCGCCAGAGGTAGCCTGACTGCCATTAGGTACCGAGATGAGATCCTCAGACCCCTTGTGAGACCATATGCTGGTGCGGTTGGCCCTGGGTTCCTCCTAATGCAAGACAATGCTAGACCTCATGTGGCTATAGTGTGTCAGCAGTTCCTGCTAGAGTAAGGCATTGATGCTATGGACCGGCCCGCCCGTTCCCCAGACCTGAATCAAATTGAGCACATCTGGGACATCATGTCTCGCTCCATCCACCAACGCCACGTTGCACCACAGATTGTCCAGGAGTTGGGAGGAGATCCCTCAGGAGACCATCCGCCACATCATCAGGAGCATGCCCAGGCGTTGTAGGGAGGTCATACAGGCATGTGGAGGCCACACACACTACTGAGCCTCATTTTGACTTGTTTTAAGGACATTACATCAAAGTTGGATCGGCCTGTAGTGTGGTTTTCCACTTTGATTTTGAGTGTGACTCCAAATCCAGACCTCCATGGGTTTATAGATTTGATTTCCATTGATAATTTTTGTGTGATTTTGTTGTCAGCACATGTAAAGAATTACTATGTAAAGAAAGGAGTATTTAATGAGATGATTTCATTCATTCAGAACTAGGATGTGTTATTTTAGTGTTCCCTTTATTTTTTTGAGCAGTATACAACCTGCATCGTTTTCCTTTGTTGTCAATACAAATATATAATACATTGTCATGTCAAATATACAGCACAATGTCACAAATCTGCCTCAGGAGGCTTTAAATCTGTACATCATAGACACTCTCTATCCTTTGATTCAGATAAGGAAAAACTCAGCAAAAACTTTTAAATAAATACAGAGGAGATGGATTAAATTTATGTATACACATACTGGTCCCTCAATGAATGCTCACACATACTGGTGGACCAAATATATACTACAATATTCAATCACAAATTTTTTAGTATTCAACATAGATGCAGAATTTTTTTTTGTTTTTTCACAAATGAGTGTTACATTCATGTTTACTATTATTCATGGTATAATGTTGGAAAAACTAATTTGTACATCCACTTTGATAAAAATATATTTATCAAAGTAATTTATTTTAAGCATATATGAAAACAATGTCCCATTTTTAGGCAGATATGTATGTATGCATAAATTTGAGATTAAATCAACCTAAAATGTAAGGGTTTAGAAACACATGCTGACGGCAGAGAGATGCACTAATCAAATTCGTACTGATAACATGCTTCGTCAACATTGCTTACTGGAAATGCTTACTAATGCTCAGCTAGTCTGTGCACCACATCCAAACTGCTGAGAGTGTTGGCTAGTTATTGAGACATCTTAGTTCTAATTTAAAGTTAGAACTAACGGAGCATTTACATTTTCTACAGAGAGAAAAAGTAGCTGCCTGCTCTCATTGGCTGGATGTCGAGTCAGCCGACCCCTCCAGATATTCAGCATGCTAGATATCTGGCTGGCGTCTGGGACGTGTCAGGGAGCCGTTTTAATGCATTGTTGAGTAGTTCACACATAATGACTGGCGACCGCCGATCGATCGCTGATTTACGCCTGATCACGGCCTGACGGTCGCAGAGCTCCCCAACCGGCAAATCAGGCTTAAAATCGTGTAGTGTGAACTCGGCTTTAGTTTTTTTGTGCTTACAAGTACAACTGCAATATCAACAAGCAGTCCTCCTCTGTGCAACTCAAAAGAGAACAAATAAACACTATGAATTTGTTTCTCCTTCGCTTGCTGTGTTTACATATGTTTATGGAAGGTTTTCTTTGTTAATTTAATATGCTTATTTTTTGACACTCCTGCAGAAGCTCTAAGCAAACAGAGGGCACTGAATGTCTTCTCCCGTCCCAGAACATGTGGAGTGTCATTACAGAAGCAGACCTCGACTGCCCTGCCAACGACTGCTGAGAGTGTTGGCTAGTTGTTGAGACATCTTAGTTCTAATTTAAAGTTAGCAGTGAAACCTGGTGCCGGATTAAGGCTTGTGCAGACTACACAACTTTCAGCGACGGCCGATCACCGTGCTGTTCAGACCACACAACTTGCGGTCTTGTGACGGGAGTCTTGAAGTCGTTGTGACGTTCACACTATGCGACTGATAGTAGGCAGCGGGTCACACACTATCCGATCTGACAGTGGCTGTGTCACCCGACACTGGTCTCCAAACCACATTTTTTCAAGAAAACACGGGAAAAACCTGAACCTACACATGAAACAGCTGTTGTTTGTTATTATATAGATTAGAGCCCGGCAGATATTATCGGCCAATATAAGCTACTTGCAGATACATCTGCATCAACATTTATAACAGCCGATATATGACTATTAAAAAGGGAAACAGAGAGTCGGATCATGAGCGTTGCATAGTTTGCCCACCAGAGGGCGCTCTGCAGCTCCTCTGTTAACAACACTGCAGCACCACAGAACAAAACATCAGCTGACCACAGTCTATTGGAGCTCAGAGCCGGTGTTCTGACGTTTGTTGTTTTTTTTTGCTTCCTTATCGAAAAATACTCCCTTAATGCAATTTTCTAACGTCTAACCCTACCACTAACCATTAGCCATGCAAAGAACTGCCAAGTAGCACATATCGACAGAACACTGGCTCTACCGGATCTACGGTGAGAAGCTCCTAGTAGCTCTCACACTCAGTGTTCCCGGTGAGTTGGTCATTTGTCACTTCAATTACATGACTTCGATAATAATAAACACAAGTTTTAGAAAGTTGTCGTTTTGGCAGATTTTATGTAAGGTAATAACTATTGCATGACATGATATGTGGTATTATTATTAGTAGTAGTAGTACATAGGTATTTTTTTATAGCTTGTTTTGCTGGCCCCCACAATACACTGTTTACTTTAATGTACATTAGTAGTAGTACTCTATAATTTATAACAAATCAGACTTTTTTAAAATTTTCTGTAGTTTTATTTGACTCTTATTTATCAAAATCTTAATATATTTTGTTGTAATTTTTGTTAAAAGTACAATTTATAACTAATAATACTGCATTATGTCATGGTCTCTTGGTATGGTCTAAACATAATAACATTTTAGGGATAATCTTTGTTTATGTTATGCACCTCTTAAAATAAGGGGGGAAAGAATATCAATTGATATATCGGCATATCGGATTTTAAAATCCTCAAATATCAAAATTGGCATAGGACTTATAAATCCCATATCGGTCGGGCTCTAATAAAGATAGCAATTATAAAGACAAAGAATATGGGGGAAAGAATGGATTAGCACAAGCAGGTAGCAGGGATTGTCTTTGGGGGCGGCTGTGGCTCAGGAGGTAGAGCGGGTTGCCCGTTAATCTTGTCCCAAGTGTCCTTGGGCAAGATACTGAACCCCAAATTGTCCCTGGCGGCTCTTCCGCCAGTGTATGAATGTGTGTGAATGGTGAATGCAGATGTAGTGTAAAAGCACTTTGAGTGGTCAAAAAGACTAGACAGGCGCTATAGAAACACGGAGCATTTACATTTTCTACAGAGAGAAAAAGTAGCTGCCTGCTCTCATTGGCTGGATGTCGAGTCAGCCGACCCCTCCAGATATTCAGCATGCTAGATATCTGGCTGGCGTCTGGGACGTGTCAGGGAGCCGTTTTAATGCATTGTTGAGTAGTTCACACATAATGACTGGCGACCGCCGATCGATCGCTGATTTACGCCTGATCACAGCCTGACGGTCGCAGAGCTCCCCGACCGGCAAATCAGGCTTAAAATCGTATAGTGTGAACTCGGCTTTAGTTTTTTTTTTGCTTACAAGTACAACTGCAATATCAACAAGCAGTCCTCCTCTGTGCAACTCAAAAGAGAACAAACAAACACTATGAATTTGTTTCTCCTTCGTTTGCTGTGTTTACATATGTTTATGGAAGGTTTTCTTTGTTAATTTAATATGCTTATTTTTTGACACTCTTGCAGAAGCTCTAAGCAAACAGAGACTTGTATAATAAGGGCACTGAACGTCTTCTCCCGTCCCAGAACATGTGGAGTGTCATTACAGAAGCAGACCTCGACTGCCCTGCCAACGACTGCAGCTGAGTGTTCGATCATAATTAGACAGTGCTTGATTTAGCTGAATAACATATTTTGTTATAGAGTTTAAAACCAAATCTGTGATGAACCAAACCAAATTTTTGGCCATGGAATTGCACACACCTGACACCAAGCGCAGCTTCTTTTCTGGTAGTAACAGACAACTGAAAAATGTTCCTATAAACTGAAATTGACAAATGATAGCTTGTTCTTTTAGGGCTGTTGATGAGGAATGTCAGCTTTCTTGTTTAACTGGATGACGACATGAAAGATCTTGGTAAGAGAAAAAAAAAAGACAGACTACATGAGAGGGTTTACTCCAGTGCTGAGTGTGGTAGCCTCAGAGTAAGGTCACTTGGGTCAGCAGTTCAGGCCGCTTTGTCCCCTGATAAACTGCTCTGACTGGACCAACAACTTGTCAAAGCCTCTAGCTGAGTGCCTGTAAGTCACACGCAGTCATACAGGCAGTCATATAGGTTTCTGCACTGAGCTAGTCACATCTCTCTCCCTGTTAACACTTAGGTCTAAATAGGAAAGCCTACACCCAGGACAGGTTAGCTAAGTCTTCATTCCTCCTGAATCCTCTCAGAACATCATCAACACTGTACAACGATGAACAGCATGACACTCCCTTCAATGGTATAAACACAGTGTTTGATACAAACGTTTAAAAATACTGACACAAAAAAAGTGAATACTTTACTCCTGTAACCTGATCCATTCTTCTCTAGACATGCACTGTCTGCTGCCATCTTAGGGCAGAACAGTTAGCAGGTAAAATAACATTGCATATAATGCATTTTATTACTGCTGTGTAGGTAGTATTTTCAAAAATGTCTTGCACAAAAATGTTATCATTGTTAAATTAATTGTAATAACTTGGTATGATTACCATAATATAAGACAATTAAGTAGACGACTTGTAGCCTCTACTTTATGACTGTTTTGTAGTAAAAAGTAGTGCTTTTCCGTGTGTGTGTGTGTGTGTGTGTGTGTGTGCGTGTCAGTAAGTGGGTTCATAGAACCGCAATATCTGAATGTAAACATGTTTTCTCAATACGATCTTAGGAATACACGGTAAAGACACTGGTCTTTCATACTAACCCCTCATGCCACTGCCCTCCTCATGGAAGGAACTGCGATGCAGACCTGAACCTCCTCCTAAACCAGCCTCCTCCAGATGCTCACTGCCTCCACTACCCGAGGAGGCAATGCTGCTCTGGGGTGAGAGAGGTGCGTGGTCTGGAGCTGGGCCTCTAGCGGTTCGTAGGTCTTCCTGGGACAGCCAGACATGGCCAAGAGGCTGGTTGCTGGGGCCGCTCATGGGAGGCGTGAGGGACACGGAGCGCTTCAGGGGACTGTGCTGCTGGCTGCCACCTCCACTCGTCAGGACTGCAAGACAACAGCAACTAGTCAGGTAGGTGCAGGCTGTTAGAGCTGGCTAAGACTGGAGAGATCATACTGGAAACACTGCTGCTCACTCACTCGTGTCAACAAGTCGTGTTGCTGTTACAACAACACTAATGCAAAAACTGAGGATAGCCTGAAACAATATACCAAATAGAACTCATCTTTCCTATACACCACAGAGTGTGTCTGTGTTAATTCAAATATTAGATTAACATTTATAACTCTAATGCCTGACCGGCTGCTAGCAATGATAAACTTTGCCTGACCCTCACTTCAGATAAAGTACATCTGGTGAACCATAACAAACATTCAGTCAAACATTTTGACTGATAAATATGCTCAATTCAGAGTCAAAGTGTTTTCATCCACTGTATATTTACGTTCCTCGGTGCATTCAGACTTATCTGATTTCGTATCCAGCATGAAAGAAATGCACAGAGGTGGCCCTGGATGTTTCTGCTGGACTAATTTTATCAGATTAATATGATACAAAAAAAAATTTGTTTTGTTTTAACATTACATCCACACTCATCTTCAGTCAACCTTTATTTACTTTGAATTACTCCTCCTCCCAACTATGTCTGTCAAAAGTGTCTGTATTTTGTAGAGCAGTACAAGCACACATTCTGCACTTTGCATATAGTAACTGCACAATTTCTCATCTCCGACTGACATTTGATCTCCACAGCTATATTTATAAAACTAGTTTAGATGTGAAATTATAACTCAGAATGTGTTTGTGCGCTAACTAGAGACAGCTGGAGGCAGGAGGATGCATCTGCCAGGCAGGAAAATCACAAAACTCTCCTGATATCTCAGTTGTCTGCGACATCCAGACTTTAAAAAACTACATCTCTCCAATAGACACCCTTTTGATATTCTTAGATCTATGATTACTGCAAATTAATCTCAGAACTCATCAGCTGTTGTCTGATGACTATCTTAATGCAAATGCATTTTTAAAAAGCTAATCACTGGTTTCCAAGATGGACAAAAAGCTAAATTGACTGTTTACGTACATGCAATCAAAGCCCGCTCAAAACATGATTGGTTGACATTACTCAGACTACAAATGAACTACAAACAGAAACCAGAATGCTTCCGATACCAATTATTGTCCCTGCCTACAGATTCTGGATTCATATGCAGACATCTGTTTATAGCAATTAACTGCAAAATGTCTGCTCAACAGTCAGTCAATTTATCGAGTTTAGCTTCAGCAACTAAGCAGAAAAGCAAGCAAAATGATTTTTACTTCAGGAGGTCATTTACGTACGTTAACGCTCCCTTTAATTTCATTTCGTGTAGACCTAAATTCTCACCTCCACTTGCTTGTTGGTTTGGAGACTCAACCTTGACGCTATGCGCCAATAAACACCTCCCAAACGAGGCAGAAATATCACTGATGTCTTAAAAAAAAAAGGAAGAATCTGTTCCTATAGCAATGACATAAACCCACCGCCAAGAAATCTGTCTTCTCTTCTTAATTTCTCCATCTTCTTCTCTCACCTAATTTCTCTGTTAATTATTGAAATCTGTGCTCCTCAGGATGTATTCATGATGGAGACCTACTGGGGTCAAACCAAGATAACTTTTTACTACTGAAATCCCAATATTTTAAACCCAATAAAAGCAGCTCTAACAACACAGATCCTTCCTGCTGAAGGAGGCAAATGGAAAGAAAAGGTGGCAAGCCAAAGAGCTTTTTTTTGTTGCCACTCTGACGGGGTAAGCTGCCACCAATACTGCGGTCTCTCTCCTCCTCCTCCTATATGCGGTCCTCTTACTGTTGGCGCTATGTATAGGACTTCATGGGCGGCGTTTAAAATAGGTGCCCAGCTAACATTACATGTTCCAGTCCCTAAATATTAGCCATTTTCCCTAAATACAGTCTACCACAAAGGCTGCCTTACAAGGGAAAAGATGGGTGGTATGTGCTGCTGTGGCTTGGAGTTAGGCTGGTCAACAGGATGTGGTATCAGTAGCAAACAGGTTGATGTGTTTGGACAATTATACTCCTCATCATGACCAGATGAACACAGTGTAGGGAGGAGGTGGTGACTAATGGAAGTAATGTGTATTAGGAATTAAGTCAATTTTGGATATTTAGTGATCAAAATGATTAGTGTATTTATGGCTTAATGGCCCAAAAAGAAATGCTAAGATTTGATTCAAAAAGTATTGACGAAACATATTTTATCATCCAACTCCATCTCTGCATACCACTAAATATCAACACATGAATTCCAGGTTTCTGGTCGTGTATTCACTACTATTCTTCTTACTTTCATTAGTTCACCAGCAGTCCACCAATCCTGTGCTGGTGGCTTGGGTAACTTATTTATCAGTTGTGAGGTCTTTTGCGTGGAACTGAAGCTGCTAGCAGTCAAAAATACAAGTCGATCTTTCTTGGAGCAGCGAGCAGAGCTTTAAATGTGTCTTTATTTATAAACCCTCAGCTGTTTCTTTCATCTCCCAGAAAAAAACAAAACACAGAGCCCTTGCATTCTTGTCTGGAAATATCCTGCTCTGACCATAGTTATGTTCAATTTCAACAGCCCTGCCCTCTCTGTGTGTTGTCTTCCACCTCACACAGCCTCTGTAGTTGCTGTATGGGTTGTTCAGAGTGCAGTTGTTCTGACCAGTGTGTATTTACTGTGTTAAGTCTATTTAGTGTGTTCAAGGTGTATTTAGCATGTTTAAGTTTGAACTTTGTGTCTAAAAAAAGTGTCTTTAATGGAATCATAATGAAAGCAGCATTTAAACGGCTGCGGCTGCGGCTCAGGAGATAGAGGGTTGGCCGTTAATCGGAAGGTCGGCGGTTCAATCCCTGGCTCCCCCTGGCTGCATGTCGAAGTGTCCTTGGGCAAGATAATACCCCGAATTGCCCCTGACGGCTGTTCCGTCAGTGTATGAATGTGTGTGAATGTTAGTTTCTGTTTGAGCACTTAGGCTCAGTGTATGAATGTGTGTGAATGATGAATGCAGATGTAGTGTAAGCGCGCTATACAAATACGGAGCATTTAAATTTTAAATTACCTTTGTTCTGCTGCCAAATGCTCTACAGATGTTTTGTGAGCTTAGTGTTATTATTATTGTGTTATTATTATAATCAAGCACAGCTGATACCAAAATAAATTCCTATGATTTAAACTACAACAGAGAAAAACCCAAAATGTCCTTTCTGTCTTGTTTGCCACATGATAGATAGAGTTTAGAGACCCTAGTGTGATATTGCCTGGGTGCGGGCAATCAGGTGGCCACCCCAGACAGAGATGCTATCATCAGGTCTGCCCAGAGTAGGTGGCTATAATCACTAAGCTGTTCTCATATGGTATAGTGGTTTTGACCACCTTGACTTTAGAAGTACAAGCCAGGATGAGATGAAATGCAGCCCAACTCATATTTGGAAAAAATAAGGTAATCAGTGTATATAAAGTAAAGTAAAAGAATTGCGAAAGTTTTTACACTCTTGAATTTCAGGTTGACAGCGGCAGGTGTGTGTAGCAAAAATCAACAGCCCCATTTTACAGAAAAAATGTTTTCATGTTAAAAGTAATGTAGAAGAGTAGGGCAATCAGAGGAAATAAACTTGCCATTCAATTTTATGCGTCTTGTATGTAACTGATAAAGTGGATCCTCCAATAAAATCTAAACTTCTATTGCCCTCCAGTATTATATATCGATATCTATTATTTATTGATATGTAAGTATTGTAAATCGAAGACAAAATAATAAAATGTTGTTTTTTTTTTTTAATTTTAGTTAATAATTTGGCTGGTTTAATTCCAAACACATAATTTCAAATATTTCTGATTTTCAATCCTATCTTCACATTCATAACTTAATGAGGGTATGTTATAAAAAAACTTGATAGATTTAAAGGGCATGATACATCATACATGTCAGTCAGATGATCTAATGTTTGCAGTAGGGCTGAACATTTAAACAAAATATTATCGAAATGGCAATATGGCCAAGTATCCAGATCACAAGAGCTGCAATTTTTTGATAAAAAGTAAAATGCGTCACAACATACCATATCAAATGAAGCATTGTGGTGATACAGAGATGCCCCGACCTACAAATCTAGTTCTCCGGGCAGGGAACATGCTTTTTTGGTACCAGGCCCAGCAAAAATCATATCATGATTGTTTTTAAAGTACAAATGAATTGCCAAATTTACCATTCGCTCTAAAATCTGGACTCATCACAATGGCATACTGTTCAGCCTTAGTTTGCAGCAAACTGGTGAAAACCCTCCATGGACAACTTCAATGATCCAATCAAGGGTGTAGTCGATCTATCATTTTGCTTTACATTATTGTACGTATTACATTATCAAATGGTACACTGTGTGGGAACTACCAGAGGACACTATGAACACTGACTTTATCGATGTGCAGACCACTGTTAAAGCACCACATGATGAGAAATTTGCTGAACACAGAATAAGGCAGAGGAGACTTCACTTACTAGTGTTACCACCTCCAGTAGTTCCAACCGTGTTAATGGTTGCCGGCACAGAGGATGATGGGTAGAGAAGGAGGTGCCCATTCTCACAGCCCTGCTGCTGCTGATGCCAGCCTCCGCCCAGCCCTGAATCTCTGGAGCTCTGCCACCCATTGAGTCGGTCGTCCGAGCCGTAGCGCTGGTGGTGATGCAAGGAGTAGAGATTGCCTGATGAAGAGGTATTAGTGGAGGAAGAGGATCCTGAAGAGGTGAGGGTGGATGGAGGCGTGGACTGGTGGTGGTGATGGTGGTGGTGGTGCGGCCCAGCAGGAGGAGGCCTTTCCAGTGAATCTCCCCGGGCAGCAGCCCTCTCTTCCAGGTGGTTTAGCCAGAGTGCCAGGGCGGCCCGGTCTTCCAGGGAGGTGGCGGGTGGATGAGGGCGTAGGACAGGAGCTGGCGAGACTCCACCAGGTGATGGCCATGCTCGATGGTGTGGGCCAGGATGCGTGGCAGTAAGCGCATGTACTCACCCTTGGCTTCCACGTTTCCAGGTTTGAGCAGAGGGAGGTGGGTGAGGACAAGCGAGATGACACGCTCCTTAGACTCAACTTGCCACTGGCTGATCACCCCTGTAGAAGGACACAAAGCACAATAAGCTTTGCAAAGAAACATAACCCACCCCTTTATTTCAACAATGCCCAAACTCTCGCAGTGTATGACTTTATGAGTTTCCAGCCAGTGTGTGACCCTGACTGGGCCACAGTGATGAACAGAACAATGCATAACAAAGATTTCAGCAAATTAAAGAATGCTGCTGCACGATATACAAGGTGGTAGCAAAGGAGAATGCAATTGATAGATGGACGGGTAGATTAGAGAACACATGTACGGTTAAAAAAAAGTTAAAGACACCTACATAATGTCCCTGCACTGTCATCCTTCTATATTGCTCTAAACATCCAGCTTTGTTGGCTGCTGATGGTGGCTGTACAGCTCTATACATAACCTGCAGGTCATGGAGTTCTATTGTTGTCCGAGTCAGTAGGCCGTTAGGAGCCCATTCCTATCATCTTGGACCAGGGCTATAGATACCAACTGGTCAGGGCAACGGATTTGGACAGCCACACAAATAGAGACAGGAAGCAATGTGAAGCAGGCCGGATTCACTTCCTGCTTGGGAGATGTGTCTGTGTGAATTTGACCACCACGGTCATTCGTAACCGTAAGGGTCTTGTCTCTAAATCCAACAGATGAGGTGAAACTAGAAAATATATCTGCTAGCCCTTCTGTCCAAAGATATCCCAATGTCACAGTCTACCTCGTGGTGAAATACAGCTCTCTCTGCCCTGTTGAGTGGACAGCTGCAGCTCTGACCGGGCAGATGGAAGACCACAAACCCTGAAGCCTTCCAAACAAGGTTCACATTCATTTCATCCCATGAAAGATGACCAGGGCTGAGGGATTAAAAATTCAGGCTTGAGCCTTCTCACAGCATGAAACTGACAGTTTTACACACACGTTTACGCGTACAATCCTATGCCTTTCTACTCACAGGAAGATCAGAAGCATGTGTGTGTCCTGGTTGGTAAACCACATGTTTTTCAAGTTCAAGAGTGCTTTTATAATAATAAACCACAAAAACCTACAGCCTCTGGCTACCTGCTTGGTTGTTTTCAGATAAAAATCAACTTTCTCTCTCTTAGGACAAAATGGAAAAATTTTACCTGATCGCTGAAATTGTAAAAGACAAAAACAAAATGAAAAGCCATTACCGACCAAAAGTTTTTACCTATGTATTTTAAATTCACAAGCATTTCATGAATTCATTTTTTTCACCCACTGAGGTCGTGTGTCACCAAGATGGGGCTGACTCAGCGGCCCATTTCACAGAGGATGGCTTCCAACAAAACAGGCAGTTTTTTGTGTGAAGAAAAGCCTTTTAGATCCATGTCAGCTAATGTGAATGGGTGACATGAACGGACAAGATGGAGTGAACTAGGCCAGGCTGTCCCAAAGCTCAGCAGAGAGAACTACACTAAGAGCGACAGTGAGCTTAGGGGAGAGGAGGTGGGGAAAAACTGAGGTACAGATCAGTTTGAGATGGGGGAGAAGAAAATAAATGGAAGAGGGAGAGAAGGAGCGAGGTGTGTTAGGGAAGCCAGGGAGTTACTCTACTCTGCTCCAGGGATGATGTAATCATTCAGTCCTCTGAATGAGGCAAGCCTTATCCGAGAACAAGAATTGTTCCATGATTAAAAGTAATTTATTTCCAATTGACTGGAAACCATTAAGATATAATACTCTAACAACTCTTACAGAATCAGATTAACTTAAGACAGTAAAATGTTTTCAACTTTTTGAGAACATAGTTTGTCTTCTACCACAAATTACACAGTCACGATAAAAAGGACCTGACTAATCATTACTTGTTGTCACAGACACACTTCAAGTCAAAACAATCTTCATTGTGACTTTACATAATAATAAACATATTCTTACAAGTAGTAAAGTTAACACACTGATCGTAGAGGTTATCTGTGTGAAAGGGGCTTGTGTATGTCTCATCGTCTTTTCTTCTGTCTCAGAGTGAGTGGCAAATACAATACAAAAGTCTAATCATCCCAGAAGTCCTCATGGTCTCCCACACAGTTCCACAAATTCAAAGCCACTGGGACACAAAAGGTCAAAGCCTAGCACTCTCCACTGAACTCCTATTCGAGGAATGATGACACTAATGAGAAATTCCCACAAGATGATAAACAACCAGCCCTTTAAACTTGTGGGGTCTAGTATTTCGGTGCCCACAAAGCTGGTCCGTCCCCTCAAGTATATTAAATCCTAACAAACTTAGTAAAACACACAAACACACACACACACACACACACACATTGAAGAGAGTCAGTGAGCTAGTAGCAAGAGCTCATCACTTAAACAAACTCAGAAGTGCAACCACATCGTCAGGTACAAGATGCAAACTGTCTGTTTCTAGTCTAGCTGGTCAAGGAGCAGCTTTGCCAACATGAGAATGGCCTCTGTGCTCCAGCAGCATATGGATGGAGGCAGTCCTGCAGAAGAAGAACTGGAATTGAATCCACCACAACTCGGCAGCGAAGTGAATCACTTGCGTGCATCCGCAGAGAAACCACTTTGGAATAACTTGCCAAAAGAGGAACACTGACAGCCAGGTGAGCAGGAAAGCCATCCTCAGGTGGCTGACAGAACAGAGGCTCTCATTAACTCTGTCCTGCACTTAAACCGGTGATCAGTTTCAATCATACAGCAAAGCGCTGCAAATATGGGATAGAAACCGTTCACTAGGGGTGTGCATCTTCACTGGTCTCACGTGATATGTGATTGTAAAACAAATAGGATACGGATAACATATAGGAGAGATGTATTTTTCTCAATGTGTGACTACTTGGTACTTTTAAAGCAAAGTATTTGTAACAATCCAACTAAGTTGATAGTTGAAATGCAGATATTTAATGTTACTTCACATAAATGTAGCTAACATTGCATAGCATTATTACATTATTACAGCATTATTACAGACCTCTGCTGCTGCTATTTTCATTTCTGATGCTGCTGTTATTAGTATAGAGTCAGATACGGGTTGAACTACACACTTTACAATGCTCCAGCCAAACCACGTTCACTCTGCCTAAATACATCTGCCCTTTTTTTTGTCTGGTCTAGTGTAGTTGCATGGTTGTCTTGTCATGTAAGTTGATATTGTAATCTTGTATAACTAGCTACTAACTGTAACTAGCACCAAAAAACTTCCTGCTCAGCTTCTAGAGGAGACGCCTTCAGTTTTCCAGCAGTTGAAAAACAAGAGACAGAGTTTAATTAACAGATACACTGTGACCTACACTGTACATTTACTGCCAGATTGAAACATAGCGCTTGATTATCTCGATAATAGATTATTGACATTAGTGAATCGATTCAGAATCGTCCAAGTCTGCATCGCGACGCATCTAAGAATCAATTCTTTTCCCCACCCCTACAGTTCACTTACCAGTTCTAATTTACACTCAGTGTAACAGTTTGTGGCAATACATTGCTCAGAGGCCAAAAATACCCAGAACATGGCAGAAAAAAGTGGCAGAAAAGTGGCACTCAAACCCCTGGATTCAGCATTAGGGATTAGTACAGCTAAAGATTAAAAGTTTGAAAAATGTACTTTTTATGTAAGTCAGGAGCTAGGACCGTCTTCCCTGAATAATAAAGATAATGGCTAGAAAAATGTATTAAAACGTTAACACCATGAAGTCAGGAAGCTACTTCAGGCTTACTGACCTCTTATGCTAAGGTCAAGGAGTCAACCCCCTCGCAGCCAACAAACATGCAACATCTCTCACAGAAAGGGTTCACAGGGGTCACACCCAGCATAGGTCAAAGTTCAACTGCTAGGAGAAACACTGAACTACCTATTACGCAAATGCAAGACCGAGAGTGTGAGTAACTGCACAAGTGTGAAACTAACAAACCCTGGGTAAATAAATGTTAAGGATTACAAGTAAATGCAGCACGCAGAAGAATCCAACCGAAGAAGCCATTTACTTAACATTCTTACAAAAACAAGCCAAATTAAATTAAAAGTGGACAGACTGAGAACATTATACCATGCATGTCAAGCTCTTTCCTTCCTCTTCACCCTGAGCCTAGAGAAAGAAGGAGGGGAGGAGGAATGAGAGCAGGAGCGGTTAAACCGAGGTTACTACACTGACAGAGAAGAGAAATATAGGAAGCTCTTTCCTCCTTACACAGCGATACCAACACCCCCTTGTTTCTTTGTAATTTCTGACTCAGAATATCACTATGAACTTCATGGGAATCAAGAGTTGCTCTGTTGAATCTTGTCCACCTCTGCATCCCACCTGACAAGAAAGGAGCAGAGACTTTAGTCAGACAACTGTCGGCTCCATGAATCTCAGTCAGTCATATTTTAAAACAATGTGAAAAAATAAGTCAGTGTGGAGTCAAAATGATCAGCGATCGATAAAAACACTCCAACAGACTGAACAATAAAAGTGAGCAAATGTGAGGTATTCAATGAGACAAAGGATGTTAAGAAAGAGAGACAGGGGCATGCTGGGAACTGATGAATCACATCAGCATCATCGAGGAGGTACACTGAAAAAGAAAGTCAGACATACGCAAACTAAAACCTCAGACAGAGAGTCATTTGTTTGGGGCCTGACACAGCACTTTGCTGCTTGCACAGAGTGTCTGCTGGTGAACTTTGTGCCATCCTGCCCTGGCACTGCCCTCTGACACTCACCCTGGCACCAAGACAAGGGTGCTGCTTTCAACACAGCCCTGCCTCTGAGTATAATTCTTCTCTCATCAAAATGCCCACCGTCCCTCCACGGGCACTTTGTCGGCATTGAAGAAAGTTAGACAGAAACAGAAAGCAGACAGACAGACGGGGAAATCAGTGGCTCAGTGTGCTTTCACACATGAGAAACTCTTTATTCTTACTGAGAGTGAACAGGGTAAGAGGCTCTAACATCATCTATACTGTGATCAGCAGCTACTTGTCAAATAATTATACAGGTCATCCCTATCGTCATTTAAAGACAAGAACTGGGAAGCTTTGAATGTTTATTAATAAAGTCAAGAT